TTAACAGGTACGCTTTATTTTAACTTCATCAATCAAAACATAATATTGTAAAACGGCAGAATTCAACGTGTGTGTGTGTGTGATTACGGAGTATTTATTCGAAAAAAATTGTTTAAAGACAATAAAATTAATTTCCGCTATAAAAACAATATTGCCACGAACCAAACCTTTGATTATCTCTTTGCCATTCTCTTACTAATTGACAATATTCCAAGCGGTTCTAATTAGAACACTAAATCACAATTTAACTATACGAACAACGATGTGTGTGGTCTTTATAATGCCCGTATTACGAGCTTCTGTTATTACATGTCTCTTGTAACAATTGTTATATTATGATGATGATAAAAGTACATATTCACACGTTGATGAATCACGATCTAATAGACATATCATTTATGAGTTGTATGCTGTTGGAATAAGAACAAGCACTTTGTCATAGAAATTTACGATTTTTAGTATATTTAGTAAATGGGTAAATTTTTATGTACATTCGACAATCATCACAGCGAGTCATTTGACCAAAATAAAACTGGGTGTATAGTTTGAACAAAATGTTTCTCTTAGCAATTTACAGTCGGTCAAGTAACATACGCTTTGTATATCAACAGTTACGATTGTATACTTTATTTCGTATCTACTTTAGTTATTTTTTCTTGACTTCAGTAAAGATTTTATGACGGCCATTTTTTTTTTGAGATTAGTTTATTATATTATTTCGTAGTTATAAAGCATTGAAATTGATCTGATGGTCGATTAAATATTATTAAAATAATATTAAGTTTAAGGTTTAAAGTTCTGAAATTAGTATAAATAGGCGAAATATCTGGATAGTGCTATGTAGATATATTTCAAAGTTAAGATTGATCATAGATAGACCTTAAGAGAAACAAGAAAAGGTTTTTTTGGAGAAGATACGGTGTTATCAGGGTTGTCATAGACTCTTAAATGAAAAGTAAGGAAAAGAGAAAAGGATAGGAAGCACTGGACTACAAACAAAGCCCTTAATGCCTCAACGGTAGACAGTGAGTTTGTCTACCGGTTTACGCTTAAATAAAATAATCGTTAAATACAATTTAGAACCCATCACATTCTTAAGCTCATCACGTTCAATAAGCAGGTATTTGACGCAACTTGGAAGTCAAGGTTTCCACGCCAGTCGACATTACTTACGAATATTAACGATGATGAGAAATTGCACCAAAAACAAGTTTAGTCTCGGGCAGATCACAAGGTCTACGGCATTTCATGACGATTTTTGATATGAATCGGTTCCGTTTCTTTGTCTTTATTTGTTGTAATAGCTTGTCTATACTAATATATAAATCTACAGAGGTTTTCACGGATGTTCCGTTATAACTACTGAACCATGCATCCGATTGACTTGAAGCTTGGTATCCATGTAGAAAATACAAGTACTTGATGGATAGGCTAATATTTATATGAGTGTTGGATTCCCTACACCAGTTGCGGGGGCGTTAATGATGAGAACCTTTGTGGGGGTGAGAAATGATAATGTTAATTTTAAATGCCCAGCGAAGCGTACAGCTAAATAAACCTATATAACCACAGGGCATTTTATTTATAATTAAAACTAATTACGCCATGCCAATTTTAGAATCGAGTGTATTTTATCCGTTGTCCTGTTATGTTTAAGTTATCTCAACGTACCTACTGTATTTCAGTATAAGCCAGCAGAAAGTTACAAATACTAATATGTCTCAAATACTAGATAGTTAAGTATTAACACTTTTAACAGTAAGTCTACACATACTAACTTATTAACTACTAGATGACCCGGCAGACTTCGTTGTGCCTCAATCGATAAATATAAGTCCTAAACTTTTGTATAGAATAAACTTATTATAAAACAAACAAATGGAATCCATCCGACGGAGGACACATCAAAGTAAAAACAAAATTGTTATTTTTATTTAATTCCGAGTATTTTCATATTTATCCACTTTTCAAACCTTCTCTGGACTTCCACAAATAATTCAAGACCAAAATTAACCAAATTGGTTCAGCCGTTCTCGAGTTTTAGCGAGATTAACGAACAGCAATTCATTTATAGATATAGAGATTTTATAGAATTTAAAAACAAATGTATTTTGAAAAAGAAAAACACGTTGAATACTCCATCGCAATGTTCATTAGAGATCTCACCGACTTGATTGACCTCGAACTCTAATTTAATCGTATTAATTGTATGACCAACTCGACTACCTTACGAGCTAATATGATAATTTAAATTGTCCGTCTAGTAAAAAGTATTTGAGGTTTACTATCTTAAGCCGGGCGGTGAAAGACGATATGGGTAAGAGGGGAGTGAGCGAAGAAATGGTATATGATAGAAGAGTATGGAAGGAGAAAACATGTTGCGCCGACCCCAGGTGACTGGGAGAAGGGCAGGATAATGATGAATGATGATGATATCTTAAGCCGGGCGGTAGCGCTAACGTCCTACCAGTCGAATCCAGTAACCGCGTGTACCTATTTATCTACGTCACTAAAAAGGTTACAGATATATTAATGAAAAAATACTCAAATATATTCCAACTGCGAAAACCACGTCACGAAACATCAAATGTCAAAGTTCAAGTCGAATAAGTACGTTTATTACCAGATATACCTCAGTTTACCTACTTTTTTTTCTCAAGCAGAGGGTCGAACCTCCTACGAGGTATCCGCGCCTAGGGGGCACGCGGAGGATGTGGGACTCGACGGTCTGCAGATGTTGGGAGCAGACCGCGGGCCCAAGGATATTTTTAGGGCCCTACCAAACGACTCCATGTTGCACTCTCTCCTCACCCGACGTTCTTCTCAGTCGTATGCACTCTTGGTAGAGTGGTCGTGGTCATTACTTCGAGTGGTAGTGCGCTTCACCAGACGCCACCATTGCTCGCGTACCGCGGCCCTTCTTGTGCACTCGTTAACGGGACCGTTTAGAGCTGCCTTTATTTGGTCTGCCGGGTGATCTGCCGCGCGGTCTTGTACCCTGTATCGTACCCTGCACCACAAGGCGCTCAACTGAGTCGTCACCCCGCCGCGACACATGCCCGAAGAAAATGAGAATGCGACCCTGAACGATGAAGGATAATCGCTGCTTGACGCAAAGTTCCTGCAGAATTGACTGATTCGATCTGAGCTCCGTCCACGATATTTGCAGCATTCTTTTCCAGCACAACATTTCGAGAGCATCTATCCTCTTTTTCTCTTTCACCCGACGTATGTACCTCAATTTACCTACCTTAATAACGCTCACCCGTATGTATACTTTAGTACGAGTAGTATTCTTCGTAAGCGCTTTTTTTCAGGCCACAGAGTGTTTTATTCCTAAATAAATTTATAAATGTATGAAAAATATGTTCAAATAACTTATTGCATAGTAGGTATACTTAACGATGATTCTACGCTTTTTGTATATTGTGCAAACGTGGTTTTAGATCGCAAAATGTTTCACAATCATTATCGAATTTTAAATATTTAACATTCCACTAGATGCATAGGTTGATCACCCTCGATTCGTGTGACATCATATTACGATACCAGCATTTCACCAAATAAATATATGTAATAAAAATGTTGTTGACAAATTTTGAACATTCCTCTGCATACAGAATATAGTTAGATGTAAACATGAAATTATGTTATATTAGAAATTAAATGTCATAGAAAACGTATTTTTGTCTGTGCATTGTTTGCATGTTTTGAGTTCAATTACGGATTTAAAATTGTTAGGCACAGATTTAACATCTTTATAGCCTTCTAGCTTATAGAACACCCATACCTGATTATGAATAACATGGCACTTATTTCCAAAAATAAAAGGTTCTCAATTGTTTAAATTAAAATTACGTTTATTTCCCAATACCTACATTTCAAAGGAATTCTCCGAAACAGGATTTTAACTTAATAATAAATGTAACAAAGCATCCGTTCGTAAAATATACCGATTACTAATAAGTAATAACCAAGCCAAATGATGGACCTTACTCACATTTTACATACATATTTGGATAATTATTCATGTTTTATGCTGTAAAATATTGTTCATATCTTGAAGTCATAAAAATAACTAGCATTATCAGTAATTATAAATATAAAATGTAGACTGGTTTAAGAAATATTATATATTTTTCGTCCTTTTTTAAGTTTTTATTCAAGATTACACATAGTAGGGTTTGGTAGCAGAGCCGCTGCTTCTCCCATGCCTTTCAAATTGGATCTCCAATAGAAAAATGTCCAGTCTGTATGACTGATTAGGTAGCGGATACCGGTAAGATATTACTCAACAGTAATTCTCATGACTGAAATAATGGTTTAAAATAATAAACAGTCACATTGGAAAGGTGAATGAACAATCACATCGAATCATTCCAATACAATTATTATTGTTTTGTATCGTACATACCTCGCAGAAACAATCGAAAGGTACAGCACACCGGTATTCCAAATTCGTAAACACTCACACAATCACTGCACTGTTTTATTACGAAAAATTAAAACACGTTTTGTGCACTGAGGGATTATTTTTAACGGAATTTGTACGTTGGGTGTTATTGTCGCGGGGTTGTCAGATTCGTCCTTGAGGGACGCGGTACGCCATGTTGAGTTGAGGAAGTGCGCGTGTCGACTGCGCGCGCCGCCCCTGGTGTGCGCATGCATGCGCGGTGCGTTACCCCGGCTGCCCGTGACACCCCGGAGTGATCCTGCCATGGCTGGGTCTAACCTACCCTATTAAAGTTTTTTTTTTATTCGTTTTCAAATTATGGCTTTTTTAGGCTTCGCTATAAATGTGAAATACAGGATCGCTAAACTGTTAAATACCGACCTGAAGCTATTACGGATGAGGTAGAAATGTCAAAAAGAAAGAAACACTACATACCTACCTACTTAAACTAATTCGTTAAAGACAAAAAAAATCTAATAAATGAAAGGAAATAGGAATTTTGCGGTAGGCAGCGGCTTGGCTCTGCCCCTGGCATTGCTGAAGTCCATGGGCGACGGTAACCACTCACCATCAGGTGGGCCGTATGCTCGTCTGCCTACAAGGGCAATAAAAAAAAAATAGGTTCAAAAATCTAAGTGCAGCTTAAATTTTCCTTATTGGATTCATAAGATAACATTTAATAGTCTTCATATTTATGTGTACATATTTATATTTTATTACATCACCTCATAATATTAAGAGGAAATAGAGGACAATATGTATCATAATTATTNAATCGCCTTATCGTTGCCGCCGCTGACTACTCCCCGAATCCTGATCATGCAGGAGCCAGTCACCGTCGACGCCCTAGACACGTCCTTACGGATCCATCAGATCCAATAACCTTTGCATTAGATGCCTTCAGCTCTAATACTAGGGGCAGGCTTAGAGACCCCGGTAACCGTACTCGTCGAACTCGACAAAGAAGTCGACGTGCAACCTAACCCATGCATCAGCCCGCTGAGTTTCTCGCCGGATCTTCTCAGCGGGTCGCGATTCCGATCCGGTAGTAGATTCATTCGCGAAACAATTGCTCTTGAGTTGTTAGGTCTCCTTCGGAGGCGCTCGGGCAGTTGTTAGCAAATCTCGCCCCTCTTGGCTGAGCCTTTGCTCGCCCACCTGTCCTGGTGAAACTGGAAAGGCCTTCGGGCCACCAGTAAACTTTCAATCATAAGAAAAAAAAAAAAAAAGTGTGCAAATTTTAAAGTTATTCAGAAATCTTGTTGGAATTTTTGAAGATGACGTTCAAAAGTTCCGTTAGATACATAAATACAAACATAAAATATGTACATATAGACCAAGCTAATAAAAGCTTATTAAAAAATTATGAAACGGGCACCGGTCATAGTTCTCGTTGAACCCGTCGCTTGCGACGAATGGCTCGGCGAGTAAATTTACCCATAGACACAGCCCAGAGTTTCTCGATGGATCTTCTCAGTGGGTTGCGTTTCCGATCCGGTGGTAGATTCTGCGAAGCACTGCTCTTGCTAGGGTTAGTGTTAACAACGACGTCAGGTTTGAGCCCCGTGAGCTCACCTACTTGTTGGGTGAAACTAGAATAACCCGTCGAGGTTACTAGAATAGGTAGGGAAAAAATATGAAACGGTCACTCCGCTGTGATAATAGCTACTTGTATGAAAACATAGAGCATTCTTGAAGTCTCAACTAGTTTCAAATAGTTACTACTCGGCTTCAAATTTCTGCGATATGTTGATTGTACTATGGCAGAAATCGACACTAGAACGACAACACTAACTTTACGAAATTTAATCACAATTGGATCAACGGAAAGAATGTTTAAAGTGCAAACATTGAATTTTCATTTTAATACATTGATGGGTTTTAAAAAAAAATCAAAGCCCCCCGAATAAAGTAACTTGTAAACAAAATAAGGTAAGGGTATAATCATAGCCAGCGTTTTCTCTAAATGCTTCACGTTGAGTGAGGAGAACTAAACGGCACAACGCAGATACAGTCCTTGCCTGGTTAGCTGCTAAATTAGGCAGGAGGTTTTTTGATAAGAACACACCTTTAAAAGAAATAAGCGATGATATAGTTAGGATAATAAGATGAAAGTTTCACTACGGACGGACGATGACACGGTAGTAAAATTTTATAAAACAGGTCAAATAACCGATGCCAGATTAATTAGTCACGCATGACGTTATGATTTAAAGCTGGTGTCAAAAGGGATGTTACAGATATTATGTTGATTATTATTAAACAAACAAAAATTAATGCAAGGTTACTTACAAGTGTAACGGTTACACAGCGAAATATCTGTGTAACCGTTACCGCAAATTAGGTTAAAGAGCAAATTAGTTTAGGTTATTAATTGTGAAAAAATATAAAGAATGGCAACATTTCGTAGTAATTCAGTTCACTGATCTCGTCAGAATCTACAGCATGCATTTTACCAAACCCGAAATTTAATTATGTGTTAAAACAGATTTTTTTTATGCGGCCTAAAAATTAATTCTCATAAAGCGGTATTAAAGTGCTGATACTGTGACCGCCTCAGAATATATTTAGAAAATTAAATTTTAATAACTATAAAGTTCTATATTTTTTCGGTGGTCTACTGTTTTTATCAATCAATAGCCGAAGCTCGGTGCTGGATATTGGTGTCCCTCAAGATGCATATCTAACCATACCTACTTAATTTGTAGGGTTTATGATAACACACGTCACAAACCATGTCAGAGACAAAAAGCCGCCAAGTCGGTCGTATACGTCAATAGTCTGCGAATGAAATCTAATGGGGCTCAGGAATCAAAATACTTCAACAATGTAAGCGACATTTCGCGACACTATTGTGTTTCGACTGCACATTACAAACCGCAAACTGTCTTGTCATTTTGTACTTACTCCTTATGCCGGCCACTGACATGCGCGCAAATATTCGTACATTGTACGAATGTTTGCGCGCATGTGAAGGGCCGTCAAACATTCATTCGCAAACCTAGCGGCTGTGCAAATGGGTTCGCATACTCAATTTGCGAACCCGTTTGCGCTTCCTCCAACACTTGTTTACGAATGTCTCACGAATTTCTCCTCCTTTTTAATTCGTCAATAGAACATTGAAGAGAAAAAGAGTTTTTAATTAGTTCCCAGACATCATTAACAGCCATGCTGTTTTTATGGGATTTCTTTTGATGAAGATACGCTACACAATAGACGTCACGAACTATGAAAATGGCGTATAGTATACGTCCGTTACCTTCGCAATCGTCGGCGCAACTGGGCAAGCGAATGTGTGGGAGACTACGCGAAGGTTCGAAGTTCGCGCGCTTTGATGTCTGTTAAAAAACCGACACAGCTTGGAAAACCACTAATACAGCGAAAACTTTGCATAATCATTCGCAAATGTCGTCCTACACTTGTGGGTTTGCGTATTCGTGCGCATGTGAGTGACCGGTGTTAGAGTATAATAATACTTCTGTGACTTACTCTATTGCTTCTTCCTTACGTATAAAACATACCTACTTTTTTTTCAGAATTGTCGAATTAATCTTTATGGGGTAGGGAGGTGGACAAGCTCACGATTCACTCGGGGCTAATTTGTTACCGGAGACTATATTATTATGCATCACAATGTAAATACCAGTATCCACCTTGGAACATGACGTCTAGCTCTTGATAGTGTAATATAACGGCTGTCCCACACTTCAAATTGTAACGTATTAAACGCAAAAATAAGCAGGATAGCAGTATGGGGGTTGGTGCTTCCCGCTTCCGTAGGTTTAACCCGCGATTCCCTACAAGTGACCCCTGGGTGGTGCTAAACGGGAGCCGAAAACATAACCGGTGGTAGGACCTAGTCCGACTGGCTGGCGACCACCCTCCAACTAGAGTCCGCCGCCAAATAGCCTAGCTGTGTTCCGGCGTGTGGTTTGGAGAGCCAGTTCTATCCCTTCCCTTTCCCTTTCCTTGTTGGGGGTAAGTCTTGGTGACGCCTGGAACTTGCGGAGCAGACGTGCATGCGAACTCACGGGGCGTGATTGTTTGACGGGGGTATAGGGAGACCCAGTGAAACGGTACCCGCTGCCGCCCGCCGGTCAGTAGGGGACCTGAACCCGGGTGTCTCTACTAAACTCCGCCCCGGGAAGCTGTCCCGCCAACCGGTGTAAAATCCTGTCATGCGGTCGTCGTGCCGGAGTCGGAGACCGGAGTGGATCCCGGCGATCGCATGCAGAGTGGACTGGGGGCCCTTCCATGCCCTGCGTCGGTCTCTCACGCAATCCGTGGTCGAGCACGTACTATGTTCCGCGCTTCATTCAGGTGTTGCCTCGGTCTCACCTCCAACATCCTACCTCTCCTAATCCTACTCTCCGAAAATTGNTGTACCGTATGTTCCATGGGGAGTGCTCTGAGGAATTGTTCGAGATGATACCAACATCTCGTTTTTACCATCGCACCGCCCGCCACCGGAGTAGAGTTCATCCATACTACCTGGAGCCACTGCGGTCATCCACAGTGCGTTTCCAGAGATCTTTTTTGCCACGTACCATCCGGCTATGGAATGAGCTCCCCTCCTCGGTGTTTCCTGAGCGCTATGACATGTCCTTCTTCAAACGAGGCTTGTGGAGAGTATTAAGCGGTAGGCAGCGGCTTGGCTCTGCCCCTGGCATTGCTGAAGTCCATGGGCGACGGTAACCACTCACCATCAGGTGGGCCGTATGCCCGTCTGCCTACAAAGGCAATAAAAAAAAAAAAAAAAAAAAAACCAGCTAGCGCGGGCTCACAAGACGCTCTACCACCGGGCTTAATCTGAAGGGGTGGGTGCACGAAAAACGCCCAACGCATCCGAACGAGATCGCATGATTTAAAGAGTCACTAGCAAAGTTCGTAATCGGGAGTATACAAGTTCCTCCACCCAAGTCTAAGAATTGAAACCTTTTCTATTTCTTCATTTGACGCGATGGCATCAGTTTCTCTAAATATGGTTTGAAGAAGGGTCCGATTACACAGACAGGCTCCGAGGAGAGCATATTTTTATCACGTTGGAAACTGAGTTTTGAGTAATTGTAGTAGTTACTTTTTGCATGTGCACTTTTTTGTCATTAAGAATGCTTGAAAGCGCTGCGTGTGACATAATAAGAGGAGCCGACCGCCTCCGATTGCGCACTCTTTCTCGCTCGCGTAGTCGATCGGCTCCGATTGGGTGCGCGCAGCTTTCAGTGTGCTTAGTGCGAGTTTTTTAACGTTCTCGTTAGCGTAAAAGTCAACACAATTTTGTATGCAATTGGAACAGCGCCCCTAGCGGCAAACGTAGGCAAACGATTCCATTCCATGCAAAAATGAGCTAACCTTTACGCTATCGAGAACGTTAAAACACTCACACTAAGCACACCGATCTCTTCCAGCCGGTCTATGTGAAATAGTTGGCGGCTCCGCTCCGGCCAATTCCAGCCGTGTGAAATGAAAAAAGCAGGCCGATGCTCTCCGAGCCGGTCTGTGTGAACGGACCCGAAAGTAGTGAGCGGTAAGTAGTGGCTCAACTGTGTTCTTGACGATGTTCTGACAGCTGATGATCATGAATGCCAGTGACCGCTTAGCAATAGGGAACAATAAGCAAACTCTAGTAAAAAATTATGCAAACTCATTTTTTAATATTAAGTCTTAGCTAGACAAAGTTAGTTTCTCGAAAACAAACGGTATTATGTAACGAGATGTTTGAACAACAAGAGTGCTTTCATACCTATTAATACATAAAACGATACTTAGGAATCCCATTAGTGTGGGTGTATCATAAACATAAAATACAACGGACGGCGCCGCAGCGCGACAATCAGCTATGTTCCTCCTTGCATACTAGATGGGTGGGCCCGGCCGCAGGGAAGTTGGAAATGCTAACTTTAGAAAAAACGTCCGTGTAAAAAGTTACTACGTCTGCCTACGTATTTGACTATTAAATGGTAAACATAAAATTCAACCTTGCCTTAATATGACTGAATTCAAATCACGTTTTTGTTTCAATACTCTTCGAGGTACTCCTGTAGATTCATGTAGAAAACATATTGTAAAATCCAGGAGTGAATTTAAGAAAAGAACTAAGTGGTGCCTCTAAGTTTAATCTAGACGATACTTAATAGAGGATAAAAATACAAGTAGATAAAATTTAGTAGTTTTTCAAATAACTCTTTTTCAAAAAATGCTATATTTCATACTTAATATTTTTCGTATTTTATTTTCTTTTTTACGTTAGTTACACTTACAATATTATAAATTGAAAATCACAACTATTGAAACTTAAGTTACTTTTCTACTGTTCTTCAATCATGTACCAAGTTGATTACGATTATATAACTAAATAAGGCAGCCATTTTGCCACTACTGTATTTTAAGAATACTAATCTTGAAAATAAGCAAGCGTGTGAAATTACACGATGATTAAATTCTTTAAGCTTGAAAGTGGTTTCTTGGGCTATTCAAAAAAGTCTCTTGAACACTTACGTAACTCTTACCATGTTTCGGATTTTTTTATTCATTTCATCGCACCATCATTCACAGTATTGTCATATAGCGCCCCAAGCCTCAATCAATTTTATTGCATATTCGTTCACTTTTCGTACAACAGTCATGTTTGGACATGTTTCTAAATATTTGAATGTATGAGCGCTGTTTCCTTTGCCGTACAGAAAACCGAATAACGAATATTTGACTAGGTTGTCAATGTCAATTCTCTTAGCAAACAAAACAAAACAGCTGATGATTACTTAGTGATCTTATTTATATGTACACTTAATTTTAAGGCTAGAGATATCGATGAAGGCTGAAGCAAAAGCGTTAAGTAATGCTTAAGCTCATCCAGTTTCCATATCTCTAATTTGTGTAAAGTGATTCTGTCTTTCTTCGTCGGCATGCCGCAACTGCGTTTGTATTAGGAACCCACTATATTTTCAAAATTACCACAAGAAATTTAAAGTTACATACTAAACTGCAACAGCCTGCTGTGTTAAACAAACGATTTAATTTATTTAGTACATTATAAGTAACAAGCGTATTACATTATGCCTGAAGATAAGAAAAACCAGTAAGTATTTTCAGAAACCCAACATTTCGAAAGGTTGTTTGGAAAGAACATCTGGTTCATTACTTTTTTTTTCGTTACGTGCATTGTTTTAAATTTATTCCTGAAACAATGTCATTACATTACGATCTAAATTAAATTAAATTCTAATTATTATTAGGAAACGAAACGACCCTAAAGATCAGCGTCGCCCACGAGGTCGTCGTAATGATGCACAAGTCACAGACAAGAAGGCAGAAAAAAAATCTGATGAGCCCAAGGAAGTACCGAAAGGTTAATATTTTTTCATAATGTTGCTCTGATACTAATTTATCAAGCAATAAATTCTCTTCATATTTTCTGCCCACTAACTGTGCAGTATCCACTCGACTTATAATAAATCAGTCTGGGTATAGAAATATCTAATTTTATTGAAATAGTTGTACTAAAAAATACCTGTACTTTACCATATGGTGTACCATTAACAAGTTTAATCATATTATAGATTCTGTAGTTAAAACTACTTTCCATTCTTATTCCATTACTTTTATTTTTAGCTTTCATATTCTCATTAAAATCTTCGCAACTTGCAAAATCTGAAGATAATACTGGTATCTAAAGTCTTACTAGTCTTAATGCTAACTAAAGTCATGTATACATATTACTATACTATGTAATGTGTACAGTTTATTAGAAAAGAATGTATCTATATTATGGTATGTACGTTATTTTCTGTCTAGAATAGTGGTCGAATTTATAGGATCATCAATAGTTCACATTCATAACCTGTTTGCATAGTAATGTAAGTGTCATTGAATGTAATATAGAATTCTCAACAACCATTTGCTACTAATATCAAGTGGATTCTTATTCTAAAAACAAACACACACATGCACTAAAGTATTAAACCTAATTTTATATAAAACGAACATTACAGCTCCTGCTAAACCAACGTACCAAGAACCAGGGCCAGAATTTTATAAAAATCTAAAAAGGGAAACAGATGAGATCCTTAAAATCACAGAAGAAGAGAGTAACAAGTATAAAAAGAAGGAGATCCAGAGTAATTGGTCTAAATATGAAATGCCTATTGACAGTTATGATGAAATTGAGGAACAAGAAAATATGGGAGCAGATTATGAGGTGAAAGCAACAAATTTTAAAATTTTATTATAGTTTCATTTTTTTATTGCTTAGATGGGTGGACGAGCTCACAGCCCACCTGCTGTTAAGTGGTTACTAAAGCCCATAGACATCTGCAGCGTAAATGCGCCATCCACCTTGAGATATAAGTTCTAAGGTCTTAAGTATAGTTACAAAGGCTGCACCACACTTCAAACCGAAACGCATTACTGCTTCACGACAGAAATAGGCAGGGTGGTCAAGAGGTGGACAAGAGGTCCAGTAAATAGTAATAATAGTAGTAATTTCTATATAGTTGTTGTTGTAGTTCTAGGGTACCCTGCTGGTACGTAGGGCTCTCACAAGATGTCTCCACTGGAACCTGTGTTGTGCTTGCTCCTTGATATCACTCCAGGTCATGCCAGCAGTCCTCATCTCACAATTTATGGGTTTTATTTTTATAATTATATAATAAAATAATTTAACCCATACAAAATATTTACTGATATTTTGCTGTGCTACCTACTGCATTACCAAAGGATAAACTAATAAGCCCCAAAGACTTACTTTTATAGAATCACCTAGTATAAACATAGACAATCATGAGGTGCTGTATCACAACAGTAGTTCATAAAACATGCACTTTTATTTGACATACTTTTTTAAGGCATAACTGTTAAAAAAAAATTCGTAGGGTATACTAATTACTAATCTATATTCTAATTAGCAAGTTAGACAATTGATTGAAACTCATCTTCTGAAGTTACCACCCTTTTCTGCCATCTAAATATCTGTCAACAGTGCAATATTTATCCTATTTCCAGGAGCCATTGCATAAATCCATACTGTGTATCCAAAGACTATTTTAACACAAATCTGGCTTTGAATTGAATCCCTCAAGTGCTATGACAATTCCTTAATATAAGGTTTCAAATAGGTTTCTCAGTAGGCAGCAACTTGATTATGCCTCTGGCATTGCTAATGTTGGTAAGTAATGGTAAAGACTTACCATTAAGGGAGTAGGCAGTAATTATAGGAGCTGGCTCATCTGCCAGCAATGACAATAAATAGAAAGTGTCCATGATTCAAACTAACACTTTCGGACTACCCACAATAAGGCAAACTACTTTTTTTTAGAAACTTATTGAAGCTCCCTTGGCAGTCGGGGGTCATTTTCAATTTAAGCACGAAAAAACATGGGAAACAAACACTGGACCATCACCATACGACAAATATTTCGAAATAAACATGGATACCCTCAGCCTGGCTTTATCTACCATACCGTTCTATGAAAGGAATTCCATAGACAAATCATTTTTTACTGATACGGACATAACGAATATGAATAACAGAGCTACAAGGTATAGACAAAAGTATTTCAATGAGAATAAATATAAAAATTGTAATGATAAAGATACCAAAGATACTTCTCCGCAGCATGAAATTCAACAAAAAATTATTAATGATCTTATCAAGGAAGATGACAATGATGATAATGCAGCACCAAATACAGAATCAGCTAGTGATACATTAAAAAATGAGAATCCTACAAATTCAGAGACATCAATGGATATTATTGACTTAGAATCAAAAGAGGAAATATCAAAAGAAACTGTAATTTTGAATAATTCAAAACAAATGGAGCCAACAAGTAATATATGTCCTGTTGGTGTTAAAGTGAAAGATAATTCAAATGATAGTGAAGACGAATTACTTTTCGCGAAAATTGAAAAACCATTGGCCAACCTTAAGACTGAAAAAGTGCTAAATGAAATCAAATTGTCATCAGAAAGTGAGTAATGATGATTTTATTTATATTCTTAAGCTTAACCAGTCTTCGTACTAGAATTCTTCTTTCATTTCAAACAATTCCTTACAGCACTCCCCATGGAATGCATAGTATATAACAGAGAGAAGATGGTTTGAAACCTATAGATCTACAAAGGAATTTTGCGTTCTGTATTGTATTAGGGGGGAGTGCTCTGATAACTTTTTTCACAATACTGTCATGTTATTTTTAAGTTTCTCACAACCCTACACCGAAGAACACATACCAATTATATTGGTAAAATTTCACTCGCCCACAGCGCCATTTACGGCTTGGCCACACTCCAGGCATAGCTGATATCATTGAAAGCCATGGTGCGAATGTGTTACCAGACACTATATATTATGTATATCACAATAACTATAGTCATTCTGCCGATCTGGATAGGTCGGAAGTTTCAATTACTTAGGACAGCTAAACCATCCTTCAGACCCGTACCAGCCGTATCATAAAAAGACGCACTTATTTACCTACATACTTGCGTACGTATGCAGGTATTAAAATGAAAGCTATAAAAAAACCTTTTATAATGATGTATTTTAGGTTCAAAATGATGAAAAGACTTTTAAAAAGCATTTTGTATCCAAGCTGTTATATTTTAATTATCAAAACAGTCTCATTAGTTTTTCTGTTCCATGTTTTGAAATTTCCATAAATATGAAATCTAATATATAAAATTCTCGTGTCACAGTTTTCGTTGCCATACTCCTCCGAAACGGCTTGACCGATTTTGATGAAATTTTTTGTGCTTATCCGGTATCTATGAGAATCGGCCAACATCTATTTTTCATCCCCCTAAATGTTAGGGGTAGTCCACCCCTAAATTTTATTTTTTATTTTTTAGACAACATTTTTAATTTCTATTTTTTTATGATACAACATACAAAAATACATACAACCCTAAATTTTCACCCCTCTACGATCAACCCCTATTTTTTATTTGTTAATTATAAACTTTAATTTTTTTGGCAAGTTTTTTATTTTGTTTTGTGACGACTTAAAATAAAATACATCATATTACTCTCAATTTTCACTCTTATACGATCAACCCCTATTTTTCCATCCCGATTAATATTTTTTTTATTCTATGCACAGATCCGCAATAAGGTTGCAAGATGGCAATCAAATATTATAATTGTAGGACGATAAATTCTTATTCAGAGTTTATAATTTCAAGTTCCTTTAATTATGTTTTTTTTTAAATTGAATTTGATCTCCCGCCCGCGCCGGTCGACTACGGATCAACTATCAATCGATCAGTTATCTGCGCCAGGTGTAACCTCTTATCTAGCAAATATCACGTAGTAGGGATGAGGACGAAGCCGGTCTCCTGTCTTACTCACTATACATTTTTCAGCCATGTTTTTTGGTTTTATTTGTGTATCAATAGTAAGTTTAGTAGGTCTGAGAATCGGCTACTATCTATTTTTCATACCCCTAAGTGAAAAGGGTTGTCCACCCCAAACATTTATTTTTTATTTAATTTTTTTGGATATTTATTTTTTTATATAATGAGGTATTATGTGGTTAAATGAGGGTTTTTTTTTCTAGAGTAGAATTTCCCTAGAAATCTTATTTAAGGCAATATAACGTTTGCCGGGTCAGCTAGTCTATCTATAAAATCGAACATTAAAGAAAGTTACTTCAATTAAATTAATGAATATAAGAAACCACAGTAACAGATACAAGCGGTATTAGGGAAAAGGAAATAAAAAATCCTTTTTATAAAAAAAAAAAATTTATTTCAGTAACTGGAGATGTACAAGACAAGAATCCCGTAATCGAATCACCAGAAGATCTTGAGAAGTGGCTTGATGACTTTTTGGATGGTTAAAATTGAATTAAGAGCTTCAATTATAAAAAATAAAAAAAAATACCGGCAACTAGTTTTAAAGACCATTGCGATTTAAAAAACCAAACCTATCAACTGCATATTTTAAATAACTTGAGTAATACTACAAATTATCATCGATTTTTATATATCTAAGTACAGTGTTATTATACAAAGAGAAAACAATATTCATTACAAAGCCGGACTTGTTGCGAATAGGATGGGACACGTGGTTGTTATCGATTTCCAAAGGCGAAGGGAAGATTTTACCCAGAGTTCGGGTTGCGTTTGTTCAGTTCTAGCAGTTTTTTCATTTTTATTCGGTGACAGAGACCGCTATGTAGCTCCACTTCTGTGAAAGTGCTGCTCGAAGTATGCGCAGGGTCAAGTTTACGGCATCAGAACACGTTGCTGTAGACTGTAGCGGCGTATGACAGTGAGAGTGATTGCTGCGATGCGACGCTGGCTTGCAGTCGTGTTGAGCTGTGTTACTTGTGTTAGTTCGGATGCTGTGACGTCGACAACGCCATCATGGTGTAAACTGCAGTTGTTTTGCGGCATGTCACTGGTTTACGTAATGTAACGGACACTGGAGAGATTCGTCTGGTCGGTAGACCAACTGTTCGAACATTGTTATACCAAAGTTTATTGCAACTATCATTAGCCGAAAAGTACTGCTATAACTCGTAAATATAGAATTCTTAACTCACGGTAATATTTTACAAAGACACAATATTAAAAAGAATAAAGTACTGAAGTTTAAACAACATAACATGAATTATAAATGTCGATTATAATTAAGGATTCGTGGCAGGTAAATGCTTAAATCTGTTGAATATAATATGTTATAGAGCAGGTAACACTTCACAACGCCGACAAAAAATTGAAAAACAATAAATTGTATAGTAAGCGGCACGTAAGTTGGCAAGGTTTTGGTGTAGTGGGGGTAATGTCGCGCATAGTGCACATTGCAACAAAAAATGGTCACTTTTATTGCCCGCATATAATTTTATTTTATTTTATTGTTTATTTGCCATAACTTATTTTTAAGCCTGTGTGTTTTGAAGAAAGTTAAAGAAAAGAGAGGAATTCGTGAAGTGTATTAGGCGTTATAAATAAAATACAATGAAAAGTTAAGAAGTTTATTTTAAAAAATATACTTAATATTAAAAATTATGTGTCGCCGTCGTCACTATCATTTTCTAATAGTGCTACTCCTTGGATTAAATTTATGGTAGCACCTGAGCTGGTGGAAGGAGTTGGCTCCTCATCGTCGACATAACGAAGAGTCGCTGTCGTCACTGGCGTAAATAATAAAACGCTCAGTGACTGAATCTACTATATGGTCATTGGTATTTGGTCCTGGCATTGCAAACAAATTTAAAACAATAACACTCGTAACATAAACTAAATTTAAACAATAATAACAACTCCTAACAAAAACTTAATATAAAAAAAGGGTATCCTACAACTTAGTAGGCGCATGTGTAGCCGGGAGCGAACGGAATGTGGACGCGGTGCGGGAGGGGAGGGTCGACTGACTCACCAATCGCGCGCTCGGAACGGTGCTACGTCTTTCCCCGCGTCCCGCTTGACAACCAAAGAGACCTAAAAAACGACTTCTGCGCATCTAACGACTCTTGCCAAGTTACGTGCCGGGGACTATACTTGCAATCTTTTTTGAAAACTTTATTTATTTGTAAATTTGCTGTATTTTTTTCATTTAAATAATAATAAAATGACAGGTTTCATTTATAACCAGCCTTATTAAGCACTAGGCATACTATTTAATTTTTAATTAACAAATTAGATTTTGCCTATTTATGTGATTTTCAATAACTAAGCTGGAATATATCGCGTCGCAGCGATATCTGCTAAGAAAAATAAAGCAAAAACTGCATGCTAGGTTTCATTGTTCATGCCCCTGGCAACACTTTCTATTGACTTTGTATTGAATCGTTTTGCTAAAAATTTGTACATAAATGAAGATTGAATACATACTTACTTTTGAAATTAGATGGTCGAGGTTCGTAGACCTGTTTCTATTAAAAATTCCAACACACTAACAATGTAATATATCAAATTAAAACATGTCCTCTGAATAGAGCTATAACCAGACGTATAACGAATAAAGCTTATTATTGATACACTTTTTTGGAAGAAGATCTACGGCCACCTTCAAGAACTTGGATGTATAAATAACATTTATTAAAATTATGAACTGCATAGGTACATTAATATATGTATTGCTAAATTACAAAAAAAAGCGTGCAATATTTAAAAAACTTTATAATTCCGAAAACCTCCTCTTTTCGTCATCGCGTATAATTCATCATATTTTATTACCAACACTTTATTTTAATGAAAATTAACAAACGAACACATGCAATTAAAAATGGCAAAACTATGAAAAGGCAAGCTATGAAGATCTTAGATTAGGTAATAAATAAAATACGAATCTCTTGTATTTAATATAAACCAGTACATTTTTATATATATGTGTGATACTACATTTCATTTCAAATAAATAAAATGCCTATAAAAATGTTTTTTTATTCATTCTACCTCGTCAGATTAGTTGAACATATTTGAACATACTGGATAGTACAGTCTCGATAAAATAATTACTTGCACGTGTTTCTTAAATTCATTTTTTAATATATTATATTAAATACGTTCATCGCCTTGCTGCAAATGATATGCGATTTTTAACTCATGTAGTTTCGCTAATGAGCCTCGATCTTCATTTAGTCTACGGGCACGAAACTTGCGATGGTCAAGCGATGGCGACAGCGGCGCGACGGCGATGTATACAAAAGCATTGCACAGTATGGTGACGGGCACGAAACGGGCGATGGCGGAGCGGGGCGATCGAGCGATGTACGGGCGATGATGGGGCGACGGCGACGCGGAAGCGACGAGAACAAACTAGTTTGGTTTCATCGCTTGCGCGGGTACAGTGTTGTGTTCAATTATTATTTTAGTAATGGAAATTGATAATGAGGAATTTATAATTTAACAAAGAATTTCAAATTTCATTGAATGACACCTTAGCGCGTAATAAAGCGTAGAAAATTCTCCCCAATTGCGTCTTCGTTGATTTATTGGATGAACACAATCTCTAAGTAATAATAATAATTCCCTCATCAGGGGACTAGGCTCCAATAGTTCTTTTCGACGTAAACTCATGATTCGCACAACACTGTATGAGCGCTGCTGCTCGCCAGCTTGTTTCGTGCCCGCGCGAGATATCGCTGCCTATCCGCTCCGTGTCGCGTCGCCCCGCTGCCGCCATCGCTCAGCCATCGCAAATTTCGTGCCCGTAGACTAAGTTCACGTCTGTCCATAGAAAATACCAATAGGAAAAAAGGAAACAAAAAAAAGACACTTTTCCCGTAAATTTTATTCCAATTCTACTATGCAATAGTAATTTAATAATAAAAAGGTTTTCTCCAAACTGTTCTACACGGTAAATTTATATTTAACGCTCATTCCATTTCAAACGTACGTAATCATTACACAATTAAGATATTAGAATTAACTATATTCTAAAGTTTAAATTAAAGTACATAGGTAATTGACACAAAACAAAACATGAAATATAATAATATGACCATACCAAGGTTGCGTAAAATGGACTTAATAAAATTGCTTAAATACCTATAAGCTACAACATTTGTGACTAATAATGGTATTGGTAATTGTTATTCTTATTACGTTGATGCATTTCATCGTAGCTCGGGGAGTTCCGCCACGCTGCCTGCTGGTTGTAAGGAGACTGCGGAGGCTTGTGTTGCTTGAATGTCTTCGCTCGGGCAGCCAACTGCGACACTAACTGCGCTGGGGTCAGATGTGCGATGGAAATATTGGAATTGCCACCAGAACTTCCACTAGGGTTAAAAACTGTCTTAGAACTAAGTAAATCCTGTTCCACAACCTGCGTGTGCACAGTGGAACAGAACATCTTTTTTTCTTCGAGATCCATTGAAGTTGCCGTATCCTGATATTTTGTTGATTCACGAATAGCACAAACGTCACAATAAGTTGTCGTTGTTTGTACAGCCACTTCTTTCATATTTGAAATTCTCTTCTTCTTCTCTAAGGGTCGCAACACTGATTTCTCAAGGTCCAAAGTTGAGATGATACTGTCTAAAACTCGCTTGTTGTGTTGGGCACTATCTCTTGAATCAAAGCTTTTTGTAAATAGGAATTCCACGTGTTGTTGTCTCTTCAACGGTGAAGAGTACCTTTGCTCTAAGTATTCCAATTTTCGTGAACGACTACTAGATATTATCATGTGTTTTGGCAATAGCAATTTTAGCAATTTGTTGACAGCCTGATTGCAATCATTCAAAACTGTGGAAACAAACAATTGGGTACATCACTTTTAAATCGGTAGAATCACCTTTAACACTTTAGACCTATTAGTTTACAACAAACTTTATAATCACGTTCAAGGGCATTGCAGTCAGCTGAGACAATTATATGACGATCAATCATATTTAGCATTTTAATGCTGATCAGTATTCTGGTCTCCACTACATGGCTTTAGAAGGGATCATACCAGTTGTTTTAATAACATCCACCAAGTTTTTATGGTCACAAGAAGCAACGACACGGCCGTACTTACGAAATAAGAGGAGCAGGCTAGTGAACGGATATTAATTTATCCAATTAATATATCAAATGCATAAACTCTGGAACCTTATTTAGAACATAGTAATATAAACGAATGCAACTTTCCTATGGACATTAATTACACAGAGGGATTCATAATATGAAGTACATGTGCCAATTCCATCTTTTTTTTTTTTTTTATGTGCCCTTGTAGGCATACGAGCATACGGCCCACCTGATAGTGAGTGGTTACCGTCACCCATGGACTTCAGCAATGCCAGGGGCAGAGCCAAGCCGCTGCCTACCGCTTAATACTCTCCAAAAGCCTCGTTTGAAGAAGGATATGTCATAACGCTCGGAAAACATCGATTTAACACATTTAATACATTAATGCTAACTTATTTCGGCCCAACGTTCTACTTTGTGCACTTACCCGACCCATAATACTGTTATAGCTCTTATATGAACTTATGGCATTAATTAATACAGCATCTTAAGTAAGTGTTCACACAAAAACGAAATGAAAACATGATTAGTGTATTCCAAAAATTTTCATGTAAGTGTATCAATTAAATTAAGTACCCATATGGGGCTATTCATTATTAGTTGAGTGTGACCATCTGATTTCATTACATAAACTTACCGGACCAATCCTATCTAATCCTGACCTCAGTTCACTATTTTACATTATACCTACTGAACGCAGTCATAAATGTTATAATTTTTAAAAAACCTTGGAATAAATATATTTACTATATTCAAATAAATATTGTTATATTATATATATTAAATCGCTGTCATTCAATGTGTAGCCAATAAGATTCAAAGAAAATGGACTGGTTGCAATGGAATGGTTGCAAAATATGGGGCTGATGTTCACAATATTGAATTTACTATTCAGTATAGTATGAATCAGTATCATAAAAAACAATTTTCGTGTTCATTAGTGTGGCGATACCTTCAATCAAGATACCAACTATATTTAGTAAAATATTTCTATTATTATTACTTACCTAAGATCCATATCAAAATAATGAAATGTAACACTCCCATATGAGTCGACTATTATCAAAGCCGGCAATGTGACTTTTGGACAATTATTGGTAAATCAGAAAAACGAATTATTGACTTTGTATTCTATTGGCAGACACAAAACTCTTCTGAACGACATCTTAGATAAATAACAGGTTAAGTATTAACCTTTATTTAATGCAGGTTTTGAACCGTATTCTTTGAAGGAGACGATTATATTCAAATCAATATGTATTGACATATCAATAACATTTTTTTGTCCAAATGCACAGATTGCCACCTTTGTTAATAGATGACTCATATACAACTGTATACTTTGTAATATTGCATACAGTTGACAACAAAAAATTTGATAAAAATTGTTGTTTAGTAAAATTTAATAATACCCACCTTCAAGCTTAGTCTTCGTCTCAATCACAGCAGATGCACCTGGTAAAATTAAATGAAATAAAAGATTAGTTGATGATACCTTAGGTAACATATAATTTTGGATAATATGATGTCTAACCTTTGTTTGGCGTAAGTTTTAGGTAATCCTCTTTAGAGATTTTTCCTTCTGCGACTAACTGGAACAGTCAAACCACGTGACTAAAAGAACACAAATATTGAAAAAAAAAAACTGAAATTACAAAATGATATATTGTCATAATTACTTTTTCCAAAGCATCATATGGTGTCTGCGTTTCATTTATTTGTGTTGAAAGACTAGTTGGTGGAGTTAGTATTTGAAGGGGTTCAGAGGTAGGAATAGATACCGGTCCCGATGGTTCCAGAGGTGCAGGTGTATAACCACTAAAGCCACTGTAATCTGTATATGCCATCGCTTGCCCATAGTCATTTGGTATTGGAACAAAATTATTTGGTTGTGGAACACCGTAGCCAGAGCTAGGGTATGGTTCATATGGAAAGTTAGAAGAAAATCTTTTAGTGTTGATAAAACTACGTTCTCTAGATTTCGAACGTGATCTGTAAGAATGGCGCCAAATGGGGGACCGAGACCGATGTAACCATCGTGGTTGGTGATGAGGGCTACGTCTTTGTGGACTAGGCCTTCGGTAGTGTCTACGAGGAGTAGTTCGCCAAGAATGACGGAAATCACGGTGTGGGCTTCGATTACTATAATATGATTGTTGGAGACTTCTATAGGGGCTTTTATAGGGTGACCACCGATGTCGTGGACTACGCCGCTTTACTGACTCCAAGCGATACTTTTCTTTAGGGTTTGATTTTCGTCGTAGATTTTCTTCTACAATAGCAGGAGACTTTTTTTTCTCCATAATGTTTTCGTCTTGATAAAGATCATCAAGTTCAGTCCCTGGAGGGCATAGGTCAGCTACTGCAATGGCCTCCAGGTGTTTAGCAAGATGTTTCTTGACTTTGACTTCTTTATCTCGTAATATGGCTGCATTTGTTTTGGCGGGATCACGACGGCTACCTGGCTTTATGTAGCTGTCAAGCGGAGACTTGGAATTGATCTTTGACACTGAAACTTTACTAGTAGACCTTTTTGATTCATCTATGGATGTGGACTCCTTTCTCTTAGTGTAAGTTTGTTCTATTTTGTCATGACTTCGTTTTTCGTTTTCAATTGGCTCATCTTCATTTCTATTGTTGCAGTCATCGTTCCAACTATCGATCACAGAGAGACCTTCCATGAACTCTTCTTTGCTAAAATCATCAAAAAAATCGCTAGGAATATCTTCAAGCCCATCAGCTGATTCTGATGACGCCTTAATAAATTCAGTCATTGTAATTTAAAAGTAACCCTAGAGTTTTTGTCTGGATTAAAATTTTTTATGATAGTATAATAGTAAAACAAATTATCAGTAGGTATACAATCAATTACACCACACAGACTTAAAACATACACAAAAAACAATTTTATTCGACATCTTCATTAAAGCAATAACACCCAGTATACTAATGTTGTCATATACTGTAAACAATCTTTAAATACACATAAAAAATGAAATGAAGTAATATTTTCTTAATTATTAATACATAATATTATGTGTTTTAGGTTAAACAATTGCTCTCTGACTCTAGTTCTTAATTTTATTTGTTTGATTATTCAGTAGTCTATTGGACAGACAAGGGATAGCTGTTCATACATTCTCATTTAATTTTACAAAGGCAATTTAGATTTTATTATATGTATAATATGAAATATAAAACACTTTATACTGGTGGTAGGACCTCTTGTGAGTCCGCACGGGTAGGTACCACCACCCCACCTATTTCTGCCGTGAAGCAGTAATGCATTTCGGTTTGAAGGGTGGGGCAGCCGTTGTAACTATACCGAGATCTTAGAACTTATATCTCAAGGTGGGTGGCGCATTTACGTTGTAGATGTCTATGGGCTCCAGTAACCACTTAACACCAGGTGGGCTGTGAGCTCGTTCACCCATCTAAGCAATAAAAATAAGAAAAAAGCGGATGCAAAGCTTCGTTTCACGTAAAAATCACTCTGATTTTTTCCCCCGAAGATCCCAAAAGAAGTATATCCATAAAAATCAATAATCTTAAACTTGAATTCGAACTCTTTTTATTTATACAACAGCCAAAGATGCGATATGGTTGTAAACATATGGTGTGTGAGTTGTTCCCTTTGTCTGTTCAATGGACGATTAAACTTTACGTGTATTATCTATGAGACCAAAAAAACAAAAAAAAACTGTGGTTTTCAATTTCGCGGTGTATACCGTACTTGTGAATTTTTCAATAATTTGCGCGTTTCAGATGACGTCTGTTTGTATCATCAATATTGTGATTATGTCTGTAAAGTGAATGTTTCAAAATAATTTAATGATGGAATGCACTCAGAGACTTGAGTACACGCAAGATTTATATGGGAGTCAAACGGAGAAAATTCCTAATGAACAGGTTTGTCAACAAACTTTTTTCTAATTTTTGTTTGTATTTTATGTGGACGTATAGTTCACAGTCTACTTGGTTATATGTGATTAATGACGCTCCCTACTTAAAGACTGTCTATCTAGACATACGAGGTTGAGTTGGTGTCAATCTATAATATGGCATTATAAGACTGGCTCATTTAAAAATGAATTGCGAACAAATCGTTGCCCTGCGGCCGAAATATCAACGACCGCGTACTCTGATTTCGAACTGAAAAAGCAGGTGTTAAGAACATTGTTTGTCACAAAAATGAGCATGGACTGATGCACTTAGTTCCACCCTTTCCACCCTAAGTTCGCCATTGTCATATGAGATCCCTCAGCTTTGTGGTATACAGGCTGTAAAAGCCCATCACGTCTGGAACCACTAGCACTACTACACACTTTAGTTTTAGAAAAATGTTGAAATGCAGCTAGTATATTTTTACCGTTAACATTTTTATATAGATATGAAAATATATGGATATATTTTAAAACAACAAATATTGTTCATTAACAATTCAGTATATTCCTTGTATGTATTACAAGGAATAAGGCCAACCCTATAGCATGTTACCTTTTTATGAAACTAATACGGCATTGTATGGGAGTCACCACTATGCTGCAGTGTAGTTTACTACCCTTCTCTATATTCATGGCAACCTCTAGATTCAATAAAAAAATAAAATAAATCCAAAGTAAAAAAAATTTCACAGATTGGTTTCCTGGGCATAAACAGCATGAAATATCCTGTAATGAAAGGTCCTAATAAAATAGGAAGGGACCCACAGTCGTGCAGTATCGTGATCAGTCAAAATGTAAGCAAATATTATTTTGTGAAAAAAAAAACAGTATTTGGCTTTGGTAACAAATTATTTGATTTAATGATATGGTTTACTTGAGAAAGTAAATGTATAATTTATTAGGATGTAAGAGCCATATTTTTTTTTTTATTGCTTGATTGGTGGATGATCTCACAGCCCCCCTGGAGCACATAGACATCTTCGACGTAAATGCGCCACCCACCTTGAGATATAAGTTCTAAGATCTCAGTAGAGTTACAACGGCTGGCCCACCCTTCAAACCGAAACGCATTACTGCTTCACGGCAGAAATAGGTAGGGCGGTGGTACCTACCCACGCGGACTCACAAGAGGTCCTACCACCAGTAATTACTCAAATTAAAATTTTGCGGGTTTGATTTTTACTACACGATGTTATTTCTTCACAGTGGAAGTCAATCGTTAAGTACGTATTTCATTACAAAAATTGGTACTTGCCAGCGATTCGACTACCAGTGCGTCGCTAGATACGAATGCATTGGACGTCTTGTCGTTTAGGCCACGATGACTGTCTATGATTAAAGATTCAACTGTAAAAGTTTCGATAAAATAAAACAAAGTACTTGCCTAATAAACTATTGTCTGGCGGTTGAAAGAAAGCATTAATTTTAATCATTATTTCTGACGTTTCCATTTATTTACAGCTTTCTTCTAATGGCTTAGTGCTATTTGGTGCTAAGTAGCCATCTCAGTTACATTAGTAGACTGATCAACCCTTGTAATTTGAGTGATCAATTGCATTTACCATGTTTCAGAGAATAATTTCAGTCATATGTCATTTAATTACAAATGTATTTCTCCTCTGGAGGTGTGAAAAAGTAAACAAACACATAGTTTCTCATTTCCAGTGTATTTCAAGGCACCATGCAGTGATAAATGTTTTGAACCACAACAGTTTCATGATCATGGATCTAGATTCCACCTCCAAAACGAAGTTGTATGGAGTAAGTATGTTAATTATAGATTCATAAAAAAAATATTAATATTCCTCTCACTAGGATGCTGGAAGAGATTTTTTAAAGAAATAATCATTAGTCCTTGATTTTTCTAAGATTTTTTTAGTATGTACTTACGTAAATAAGTAAATGATGTGGGCCAATAATAAATCCTTCCATTTAAAAATATACCTCTATGCGTAAACAGCATGGATACTTACTTACTGTTAAATGAAATCACTCATATTTCAACAATGTGCATAAGGGGAAGTTGGTGCATAGTGGGAACATCTTACCATCGCCGACGCCATAATTTTCATTTAACATTATTATGTTATTTGACAATCTTGTTATTCCTAACACCATATTTTTCACTTAGTTCTGAACAAGCTCACCATAGCAAAGTACGACCAAATTTTCTGTAGTTGAGTGTTGTGTGATATAGGAAAATAATAACCGATTAAAACGTTCTAGAAAAATCTAAAACCATATATTCCACATCCATTACAAAACGGGGATATACTAGAATTCGGGAACGTCGTCGGGATATTTAGATTACTGGAAGAAGAAAGCGACTTGCCAATGACGCAGGCCATAGATATACCCGAAACTCCAGTTCAGACGAAATTTTTGCCTAGGCCCTACAACACACATACCGTAATCCCTGAATCACCTGACGTTAGTGATCGAGTAAGTACAATAAATTATATCTTTACCTTTTCATATAAAAAGCTTTATCTATCCGGGGATATCACTACTGCAATTATTACAGTTTAGTTCTGGTCTGAAAAAATATTTACAATCTCATTAAATTTGTGAAGAAGATTCAAGTTATTTTGCTAGAAAAATTTATGGTGAATTGAATGGTTATGTAATTGTGTTCAATTGTAAGAAAAGCTAAAGCTTAGGTATTTTTTTCAGGATGATTCTCTCTTAACAGTATCACAGCCAAAACATAAACAGCTTAAAAACGATAGTTTAAACGTACACATGGCCGCAATCGGTTTTGATAAAACTGAAAATACAAATTGCAAATCAGCAAATAAATCTAATTCGATACGCCTTTCTATGAATGAATCAAGCACTGAACAACCAACCACTCCTAATGGCCCTAGTTTTAACAATAAAAACGATATTGATGTCATTAACATACACGATATGGAAACACAGCCAACTTTTGCTAAGCCGAATGAAGGGACCGATATATTTACGGCAAACACAGAACAGATAAATAAAGAAAACTACGACCCAGACTCTATACACAGTATGAATACTCAACTACCGTCGAATCTAGAACGGCTACCGGCGTCAGCTCAGGTGTCGAAGAATTTAAACCAAAACGGTGTGCAACTTAATTTGTATGCGACCAACGAAGTAACTGACGACAGTATATTTGATGCTGCCACACAACTTATTATAACGGAAATCGACCAAGAATCCCCAATAAAAAGAAAAGAAAATTCCGAAGAAACCAACAATAATAAAGCCGCCGATGATTCGGTAAAGTCAAACGTAACTCTAGAATTTGAAGAAATAGACAGTGAATTGTTAGAAGAGTCTTTCGAGTCTCAATCACTTATAGCTAACGAGAAAATGAACAGTGTCTCTGAACACGCACACAAAGCACCGTGTTCTAGTGTGAGTAGAAAGATGCGAATATTATCATACACTGAAAAATTAAGCCAATCGAAGATCCCGGAGAAAAATGAAGATGATGATTCTACTGATTGCGAGGATAATAACTGTATTGAATTAAAACAATGCAGATCGAAATCACCAATCATAAATAGCCCTACTACTGAAAAGGGAAATAAAGCAACGGCACATGTTCAAAGTAAATTAAATAGTATCAACAAAGTGTGTTTCGAGGAAATGCTTACTCAAGTCATAGGAGAAGAAGATGAAGTTCTAACACAAGTGATAGAACTAGAAAGCCCATCGAAAAAAGGTTTAAATGACGATAATATAGAAGATGCGCCGACACAAATAATCCTTGAGGTCGAACCTAAGGGTGTAGCAGAAGAACCGCTCACTCAGCAGTATTCTGAAGAAATTATTAGTCCCTTTAAAGTTCCGTTAAGGTTTAAGACGAAACCGTCGCTTGGCACTCCCAAATCAATTACAATTGACAACAAAGCCGAAGTAGATGAAACCAACGATAAATACTACCAATCAACACAAGATGTACTGAGCGACTTATGCTCGCAAACAGACAATTCTCCGACAATTATTAACATAGATAAAGATATAATAAACAATAAACAAATAAAAAAATTAGTGCTGGAAAAATCTTCGAGCAGCAGCGAGAGCGAAGATCGAGTTAACAAATTCGTAACAAGCTTAACGAAGGATCAAATAACGAATATGATCGGTGTAGACACCCAGGACAACTTGAATAAATCAACAGATTCCTCGGACGTGGATTGCACTCCTAAGAAAGTTAAGCCACTCAACATCATGGACGTAGAGCTACCGAACACACAAGAGATAAAGGAGTGCTTAGGGAAATGTACGAATCAAATTATCGTCGAGTCTTCAAGCGATTCCGAAATCGAAAACTATGCGGAAGAATTATGCGATCCATTTTTGTTATTGAAAAGGAGAAAGAAAGAAACAAGCGCGAAAATGAACTTAAACGATAAGTTCGAAGAGTTGCCGACCAAAACCCGACGAACCCGCAAGCCCACTGCTAGACTACTAGAGTCTTGTGAAAACAATAAATCAATCGACATCAGTATAACCGACTCGAATAATAGAACAAGAGGGAATAATTCAATTAAAAAACCTAAACAAGAAAAATCAAAGAATAACAAAAGACAAAAGAAGGAAAGTAAAAAGAACACATCAAGTACAAAATTAAAAGTAATTAAATGTGATGATTCAATGGAAGTTAAAGAACTAACGGAAAGTTCTCCAGGCAGCACCAATGGGTCACGAGTTAAAAAAGATAATAAAAACAAACAAAAGAAATTGGAAACAGCCGAAAGAGGTGGAATAAAGCGCAACACTCGCGCCAAAAGCAAACTCGACACGGAGAACGAATCCGATCGAGAACGGACTAAACAAGAAAATACTAGAAAAAATGGACGTACCAAGGAGAAACGTGATGTTTCCATTGCTTCTAGAACATCGGGAGTTGAAAGCGAAAACTACGATGAAAATTCTGCAGGGAAAACGAGATTGGGGGCGTTTAAAATCCCCCTTGTATCGGAGCGAGTACGATCGACTAGAAGCATGAAGAAGGATGAAGATAAAATTGCTGAATCTGAGAGCGAATCGATATCGTCGGTCAGCGTGCGGCGCAGCAAGAGGCAGTTGAAGTCGATACTAAAGAACTCGAGCGACCAGAGCGTAGTGTACGACGCGCCCTCGTCGCGGCCCGAGAAGAGGCCGGCGCACACTTACAGCAACGCCGCCAGCACCAAGCGGAGCAGGCCCGACACTGCCTCCCCTGTTCCTCCGAAGCCCACCCTGGCCCTAGCTACCGGTTCCCAGCGCGTGCTGTTCACGGCCTTCGCCAACGAGGAGGTGCAAGCGAAACTGGAGAACTTAGGTACGTCCGCGGTAGTCACCGTCTTGATTTTAGTAACATGTTGGCATTAAAACTTTTTTATTTAGTGTTAAATGGGCATCGAAAATATATATCCCTTCTGAACAATGGTGACTTCCTACCTTCAGAAGGGCCGTATGGTCGTCTGCATACAAAGGCAAAAAAGACAGATCATCTGGACGTCGAAGTCTTAATTGCGTTGGTAAACTGCCTATCGTAGTCTGATCTTGGGACGTGGGGGCATTTCCCGCCAGTAGGCTGTGAGAACTTATGCTTTGGATTAGTGATAGCAGTGCTGGAGTTACTGGTTACGTCTAGAGCAGGGCTGTACAGGCAACGACCCGCGGCCTCTGCTCATGCGGCCCGCGACGCATGTTTTAATCAGAAAATAGCTTTGGATAATGAAATTATTTGTCAAAATATATAATCAATATTTGGTATAATTTGTCTTTATTCTTGTAACATTTCATTCCCATAACATCATTTAAAAGTGAAGTTATCTTTGATTTTTTTCTGCCGCCCTCCAACTTTTGTAGTTAATTTAATTAGCCCGCAAAGGTAGGTAGTTTGGACAGCCCTAATCTAGAGCAGGGGCTCCCAAACTTATTTTGTCTACTGCCCACTTAGAGAATAAATTCATTTTTATCGCTCCCATTTTTCATCTACTGAAAAACCAGCGAGAGCTCAGTTAAGAGTAAGAGTTCTCCTAAATGACATAACAAATCGCCTCCCAAGCTTCTAGACAATGCTCCCATTATTTTTCTGGGTCTCTTGCCGCCCCCCTTTAGGTCTGCAGCGCCCACAGGAGGGCGTTATTGCCCACTTTGGGAAAGACTGATCTAGAGCATCACTGAACTAAAACTAAACAATTGTGTTCCAGGCGCGTCGATAGTGTCGGACGTGTACAAGTGCACGGTGGTGCTGACATTCCAGATAAAGCGCACGTTCAAGTTGCTGTGCGCGGTGGGGCTGGGCCGGCCCGTGGTGGGGCCCGCCTGGGTGCAGGCCTGCGCAGACGCACGCGCCCTCGTCGGTCGGTACCTTCTTGTGCCCTATCTTACTTCACTTAGTTTATACTACGCCTAATTAGTGGGTGGCGCATTTACGTCGTAGATGTTTATGGGCTCCCGTAACCACTTAACATCAGGTGGGCTGTGAGCTCGTCCACCCATCTAAGCGTTAAAGAAAAAAATATATTTAATATTAAACATGATTCTAGATCCATGGTTGCACCTGTTGAAAGACGAGACGGCGGAGAGGCGCTTCAGGTTCAGCCTCCACAGGACGCTGACCGGGAAACGGAACTTCTTGAAACGTTACAACGTCTCCTCGACGCCCAGCGTCCTGCCCAGCGCCGCCGAGATGAAGCGTGAGTTTCTTTTCTTTTTTTCTACCCAAGCTGATAGACTCGAGAGGCTATTTCAGCGTAACCTTAACTAGTAGGTGAGCTCACGGGGCTCAAACCTGACGACGTTGCTAACACGAACCCTAGCAAGAGCCGTGCTTCGCTGAATCTACCACGTGACTATTGTTAGCAAATTCTCTCAGTTTGAACCCATGAGCTCACCTACCGGTGCGCACCTACCGTCACCTACCGTCCGCGAAAAGCTGAAATAACCCCTTAGACTACCAGCGAATATGTATTGAAACAAAGAACTGAATAAATCTATTAACAGCAAAATCATTTTGATATTGAAAACGATCGGTGGTTTAAGATCATTAATGTTTGACAATGAGTCGTTTTCAATTTTGCGGCCAATAAAGTAACGAATTGTATTTAGGCGTGCTCTGAATAAAAAATGCTTCATCACAATTAAGTCAATTACTCATTTATTGATAATATTATATAATATTCATTTATGTTTTTCATTTTACACATTTCATAACACGAACACGGATGACAATTTAAATGGGAACCTTTTTAAAAAGCTTAGAAATCGCACTTCTTTTATTTTTAATAATGTTCTAATATCCAGTTAGTTTTCCTTTATTATTGTATACTGATTAAATAAAATTACCGACTTTCAACACGCGTTACTGGAAAAATAGCAAACAAGTTAGTATTTGAATTTCGAACCAGTGATACGAATGAGATTTGGGGTAGTTTTACTCCTAATTTAACTGTGTTTACAAATATATAGTTATAGGACCACGTGCGTGTTGTCATGACAACAAATTTACTGTGCTTATAATTGCGGTAACATTAAGGTTATGAGAATTACATCAAATAACTCGCTTTTGGCCCCAAATTTGAAAACGACCTCAATAAATAATCTCTTATCAACTGTTTCTTTACTAGTCGATTATCACCAAAACACATTAATACGAGTAATACGGCCGCTAATCTCAAGTTATTATAAGGCCCTTGCGCATAAGGTGCATTAGAACAATGTTATGATAGATCAAAACATGACTTTTATTTTGCAACTTGGATAGCCAGAATAATCTCTCGAAGTCACTGGTAAACATGGCATATTCCTAAAGCCGCAATTTTATCACATGCAATTTCCCTGTGGGGTCTGAAACTTCCAATATAGGTCGATGTTCATCATCATCATTCTCCTGCCTTTCTCCCAGTCACCCGGGGTCGACGCAACATGTTTTCTCCTTCCATACTCCTCTATCATATAAATTTCTTCGCTCACTCCCCTATTACACATATCGTCTCTCATGCAATCCATCCGTTTTCCTCAGTTCTACCTCTTCCTCTGTAGTATGTAGGTCAATGTCCGTGTTACTTTTTATTTTAATTTTTTATTGCATACGTCGGTGGACGAACTCACAGCCCACCTGGTGTTAAGGGTTACCGGAGATCATAGACATCCGCAACGTAAATGCCGCCACCCGCCTTGAGATATTGAGTTCTAAGATCTCAAAATAGTTACAACGGCTGCCCCATCCTTCAAACCGAAACGCATTACTGCTTCAGGGCAGAAATAGGCAGGGTGGTGGGTACCTACCCGCACGAACTCACAAGAGGTCCTATTAGTAATTACGCAAATTATAATTTTGCGGGTTCGTCAATCGTGAACATTTTTTAAGTGTTTTTAATTAGAAAAATTGGTACCCGCCTGCGGAGCTCGAACCCTAGTGCATCGCTGCACACGAATGCACCGGACGTCTTATTCTTTAGGCCATGACGACTACCAACGACGAGTGTCAAATAGTGCTAACCGTTTCACAGTGATCGTGGAGTGCTCGGGGGGCGCGTGGCGGGAGGGGGGACGGAACTGGGTGTGCGTCACGTCCGCAGCCGACAAACACCTGTGGCCTGAACTCAGGAGTCGAGGAGCGACCTTGGTCTCCACCGAGTTCATCCTCGAGGGAGTGCTGCGACAGAGCGTTAATATAGCTGGAACTTCTATAACCGTTAACGGTTAGGACTCTGTGTGTGCAACTTTATAAAGAAAAAAAATAGTGCAGGAAACTTTTTGTATAGACATTTGAAAATCGAAACAATTTTAAACCGAAATCGGTGATAAAAGACGTTTTATCTTTAGTAGGTAGGCAGTGGCTTGGCTCTGCCCCTGGCATTGCTGAAGTCCATGGGTGACGGTAACCACTCACCATCAGGTCTGCCAACAAGGGCAATAAAAAAAATAAAAAAACCAGTGTCGCTGTGAAATTGAATTAAGGCTAGAATTAAGTCGATTAGTCGGCTATCGGTATCGGTAAATGAAAAACAGTCAGGAAAAGTTTTATTCCATTATTTACTCCGATACTAACGGGTGTGATATTCCAAGGTTTTATTCATTACAAAGTTTTTGAAGTTGAAACGACTGCGTCGTCGATGAGTGATAAAGTGTAATTAATATTCAAGGAATTTGAAATGCATTGATTACGTTATGTCAACATTTGTAAAATTACAGAGATTCGGATAAGATTATGTGATCTACAAAATGCGATTTTATATTTTAAAAAAAGGTACACGCCCGATTTTATCAAGGCTAGAATATGTAAAATAAGAATTTAAACTATTTTCAGGTTTCTTTATCAATAGTGAAGCTCTGTATTTCTATTTACTTAAAATTAAAGGCTTCGACAGAACGCGTACTTAGCGCGCTTCAGAACGCTAAACTGACGGCGCGCTATGACGCCGAGATGTGTTGTACTACTGTAGTAGTATACTGTCAAACAGAGCGCTCTTTCGCGGCATTAGGACGCTTTGAAGTCAGGCGTTGTAATTTTTTACAAATTTTATTTTAGCGTCCGAGTGAATTTATATTAAAATACTGGATAATGCCCGAAAAATTTATAGAAATAATTAGAAAATACCCATGCTTATACAATGCCACATCTGAATCACTCGACATCTTAATACTTTTAAATTTTCACACTGCTATCGAAAGGCACTATGATTTGGCGGATGTTACGTAGCGTCAAGGAGCGTTGGACTCATCTAGTCAATTTGTGTGACATGAAAAGAGCGCGACGTTAAAACGCAGCGCTAAGTACGCGTTCTATTTGACGAAGCCTTAATTGTGTTTTTCTGTACTCGACCTAGTGCTGATATTCATTCGAAAATAGAGGTAGTTAGCTTATTTGATATTTTTGTGATATCGCCACGAAGTAAAGATAAGCTAATCTCGTTAATTACATCCGCGGAGTGCCTTATTCGAGATTATGGGAATATCAGTTTAATGAAGAATACAAATGTTTTGTTGATAATGACGTAGTTTTATTGAAAATTCCAACAAAATATAATAGTAACATTTAATATTGAGATAATAAGTATCGAAATATCTAGGTTGTACTTTATTTGTTAATTTTACACACTGAACACCAAATATACACATTGTATCGTATTATTGAATGTTTATTTTTAAATGAATAAAATCTTAGTTTTTACTCTTCGTTTCATTATCATTCTGATATATGAGGGCTTAGTGCGAGTTTTTTAACGTTCTCGATAGCGTGAAAGTTAGTTCATATTTGTATGGAGTTGAAACGTTTGCCTACGTTTGTCGCTAGGGGCGCTGTTCCAACTGCATACAAAATTGACTTAACTTTTACACTATCGAGAAGGTACTAGGACCACTTGTGAGTCCGCACGGGTAGGTACTATCGCCACGCCTATTTAGTAATGCGTTTCGGTTCGAAGGGTGGGGCAGCCGTTGTAATTATATTGAGACCTTAGAACTTATAACTCAAGGTATGCGGTGCATTTACGTTGTAGATGTCTATGGGCTCCAGTAACCACTTAACACCAGGTGGGCTGTGAGCTCGTCCACACATCTAGGCTGTAAAAAAAATGAACGTTAAGAAACTAGCACTAAGCACACTGATGTTTTAACAATTGATTTTTTTGGCTATCTATGCGAGTAATCTTAAGGGGTTGTACTAGTTTTACCGTAACGCGTAAGCGAGTTCACGTAGCTCAGCTTGGTGACTTTGTTAACACTAGCCCTAGCAAGGGCCAGTACTTCGCCAAATCTACAACTATCGGAATCGCAACCCACTGATAATGTCCGGCGAGAAATTTAGTGGGCTACGTCTGGGTGAATGGGATGACTTTACTTGCATCTGCCTGCTTAGTGTGAGATTTTTAACTCTTTTTCTTTAACTTTTGACTCTGGAAAAGACGAACCGAAAGATACTGAGAATGAATCTATTTCTAAGAGACCTAAAAAATTAAAATATTCATTAACAAACAAAAGAAGGCAAAGTTAGAAATCATGTAGTTCGCCGTGTAGGGCCCCGCTGATTTAGATGGCAGTCAAAGGGATAAATAGAATAAATGAATATTAATCGAAGCCAACTGCCACACGGCTTCAAACTATGATTCCCTGTACCAGGGGAACCAGTCTGATATACCTAGTCAGGTCATAAGTATTGTCACACAGTAAAAAATTTTCTTTTAGAATGCTGGCCACAAAAAAGTTTATTGAATTCGAATTTCGAATTGTTCATGAAAATAAAAACGTATACTTTTAGAATTTTACTCATTTTTAAATATGGAGTGGACGCTTAAAGAAGACCGTGTTGCAGTTATTGCGTTGCATCGTTGCGGTTACGCGCCAATTCAAATTTTTAACATACTGAAAAATTTTAATATAACCAAAAAATTCGTTTATCGTACCATCAAACGATACAATGAAGACTCTAGTGTAGATGACAGGTCAAGAAGTGGTCGCCCTCGGTCGGTTAGGACTCCAGCAGTGATAAAAGCTGTGAAGGCGCGAATTCAAAGAAATCCCAAACGTAAGCAGAAACTGTTGGCCCTTCAGATGGGGTTAAGCAGAACCACGGTGAAAAGGGTGTTAAATGAAGACTTAGGGCTTCGGGCATATCGAAGAAAAACAGGACATCGTTTGAATGCTCGTCTAATGGNCACCATTTTACTGCGATTATATTTCATCCCATATCATCTCATTTCATTAAATTTCATCCCAGTTGATTAATGTTTCAAATTAATCATCTTCATTTCATTTCACTCCATATTATCATTTTTCATAAAATTAAGAATATAAAGTAAAATAAGACATGACTTAAAGGTCTTAGTTACCAGGTCATAAAATCTCTTAAAAAAAAAAAAAAAGGCGTGCTCAAAGCCTCATCCTAATTTGGAGTCACTCAAGACATCCTTGATTAAGGCAGCCGCCGATATTGACATGGACCTCGTTCGTGCTGCGATAGACGACTGGCCGCGCAGATTGAAGGCCTGTATTCAAAATCACAGAGGTCATTTTGAATAAACTTTAGTGTCATAAGAATCTATGTTTTGTTAAGTTTATTTTGGTATATGAATGGTTACATAATGAATAAACTTGTTTCAATTATTTTACATTAAACATGTGACAGAATTTATGACCTGACTAGGTATATATATACACTAATATACATACTTATATACACCTAAATAAATACCTTTAAAGATATTAAACATCCAGAGCAGATAGAGACCAAACAAACAATATTGTTTTGTATCTTGTAATATGTATATATTATTATATGTAATGTTTACTGTAGGCACTAGGTTTGTGTTCCTAATTCTTCTTTCCTTTTGCGGGCCTACTGGAAGAAATTTCAACATGAAATAAGCAGTGCCCTTGTACTCTGTAATTGTAGTGTTTTTTCTAACAGCTGTGTGTACAAAATATATTTAAAAAAAAACTCGTTCATGACACGAATGTTTGCCCATTTTGAGAATCGAACCCACGATCCTCAGTGCAGCAATCAGGGGCGCTAATTCCAATGCCACCGAGTCAGGCTTATCTACTTAGTTAAAAGTTCAAATTGAGACAAAAAAAAACAACACACAAACAAAGGATTATTTAAATTTAATTTACATAACTCACTGTATGTTTCACTGTTCAGATAATGTAAAAAATATAATCCTAAGATTTTCTACATTCTATTTATATTTAAATGCAAGTTTTTTAACCGTGTACCCATATCGCATTTGTAATATTTTATGTGTGTATACGAGAACGTAGTCTATATACGACATTGTGACGTCATCAATATCAGACGACAGAATAGTGACTTTGATGAGGCATTATAACTACAAAAAAACAACACTATTTTTATTATCAATCAATTACAGACAACATTTAATTCCAAAGACCAGTCGTACCAACCTATTGTAATGAAACTTATTTCTTTCGTAAAATCGACCTGTGTGTGTGCTTAGTGCGAGTTTTTTAACGTTCTCGATAGCGTAAAAGTTAACTTATATTTGTATGGAATAGGATAGTTTGCCTACGTTTGCCGCTAGGGGCGCTGTTCCAACTGCATACAAAATTGGCTTAACTTTTACGCTATCGAGAATTTTAAAAAACTCGCACTAAGCACACTGTATTAAACCTCTGTATTATTTCATTATTCTTACTAGCTATGTTACATACACGATGGATTAAATAATTCAATTACATAACATTATATTATTAAAATTAGTTTAATACGTCCATTATATATATATACAAATACAAACATACAGCTCGACCAAGCTAAGTTTGCACCTCGCATCGATAACGTCACACTGCCGCTTAGGTATGGTCTGAAAAAAGGATTCGCTGTGACTTTAAAAATGTAAACTAATATTTGTTAGATTTCATTTTGCATTTATTGTTTTTAACAATATATTATACATAGGTACATTAGAATATAGCGATATCGGGTTTTTGTATTAAGACCACACGTGCGTTCTTACACTTTTTAAATTTGTATCACAATTGCTCAGTAATAATTTTCCTTTATGTTTCCTTTTCAGGATTATGTTTCTCCCTTCACTGTGTATGACCTTTCCTTTAATTTTTGTTGCACACAACAATCCTCTCGAAGAAAAAAAAAATTAACGTTAAGCGTTCAGTAAAAACAGTTCAACAAAAACCTAACAAGAACAGTTAAAAAATTAAAATTCAACGGATAGGGAGACGAAAACTCGCATGACGCGTGTCGGCGACAAAGATGCTAACCGTACTGACGCGACGGGGCGATTGCGGGAAGGAGAGCGGGGAAGCGGGCGGGGCGCCGCATTCCAGCGAGGTGCAAACTTAGTCTGGTCGAATTGTACAGTCGAAGCCGCAATTTATGTTTTAGTTATACGTAAGGTGTTAGGGAGCTTCAGCTTAACACGCTTGGATCTCGGAGTGAGCGTTCGGCGAAAATCTTGAGTACAATAAAAAAATAATATAGTTTTCAAAAAAACTTACGCAATAAAACAAATGATAAACAGCGTCATCAGGCAATAATTTAAAGTACACAATTACTCTGCAAAGTGTAACAAAATCTTAAATATTTAACCTAATGCTCTGTAATATCTGTCGTGTTTGTGTAAGTAGTTTTTACAAGATGGCCAGCTCGCTGCCACAGATAAAAAATTCTTAAAGTGACAGCCGCTGTCATTCTAATCTGACGTAAATGCCAACTATTGCCGTAGCTCGCCCCGCAGTATATAGAGATCTACATAATGTAATGGTTTCCGCAAATAAATAGATTCTACGCTTCTGGTGTCTTTTTCATCAATTCTAGATCCGCTTCTACCATATCCTTGACTAGTTGGTCGAAGCTAACTTTGGGGGCCCATCCTAACTTCTGTTTCGCCTTGCTTGGATCGCCTAGTAATAAGTCCTGGAAGGAAATTGATTAATCATTCAGTTATTGTTTTTTATTTTTCTTCTATTATATTTTGATTCTATTCTGCATATTAACTATGCCGGTCGAGTCTAATAAAAGCGTCTAAACTATAACGATCCATGTGGCATAATTAATAATATTAAGCGGATTTTATTGTGATTTTTGAGTTTTTTACCGTAGACGTTTTTGACGAGCATTTCGAGGGGTGAAAGGCTATTTGGTTTAAGCGACATTTTTGTAACTTTATAGGAGAGATATTTAAATTTTAAAATTTTGAAAAAAAATTATCATAACAAAAAAACTTCTTTAGCTATTTGAACAGAGTAAGCCTATTAAAGTTCAATTAAAACATCAAGCTGTTGATGCTAATACCAAACAAAAACGCACATTCAATTACAAAGATAAATGTCGCGTATCAAGCGAAATGTCGCTTAAAACACATTTTGTACTGGTGGTAGGACGTCTTGTGAGTCCGCACGCGTCAATACCACTACTCTGACTATTTATGCTGTGAAGCAGTAATGCGTTTCGGTTTGAAGATCGGGGCAGCCGTTGTACTGTTAAAAGTGAGATCTTACAACTCATGTCTCAAGGTGGGTGACGGCCGCGAACTCGCCCACCTATCCAAGCAAAAAAAAAAAGTGTGGGGTCGTAGGACACTGCATAGGAACGAAGTACCTTATTATAAAAATATTCATTTTAAGTTCTATTTGAGGTATAAAGAAAATAATAATTCGGGTATACATTTTGATGTGAAACATCTATAGCCGCACGTAAAACCGATTTCTGGCTCTATATGATGGTATATATATACAGTCTATATGCAGTAGTGTTTACGGTGTGGCGACGCGTCGCCATGCGCAATCGACTGTGCGATTCTCTCCCACTCGATCCGGCGTTAAGTCATCTCTCTCGCTACACTGAGCTCGGATACCTATAGTGTATAATACTCCGTAGTGTATACAGTGTTGTTTACTACAGTACACATAACCTGTGTTTTACTTGAAAACAAATTATTTTTTGGTAATATTTTATTTTATCATTATGACATATTTAGTTCCTATCACAATCTGTTCTTTTCTGCATATTACTTTTACAAAATAATGTCGATGTTTCACATCTGCCAGGCGTCCCGTGACGGCTCACATTTGTTGATAACAAACTAAATAGAAAAAAATCTTACGTTACGGACATTTTTTCCCGGTTATGGTACCCCTCCGCATCGTCCCATAAGGAACTTCGTTCCAAAAAAATAGCCTTTCAGCCCTCGATATGTTGTTAATGCTTACCACTTCGGTGGGGCGGAAATACTTAGGGTTGACTTTGACGAGTAGTTGTTCCGTGTGCGCGTCGTGTCCGGTCTCGTGCACGCCGGCGCCGCGCCACGCCACGCAGCGCCCCACGCACGCGAACGACTTCTCGACGAACTCGCGGACGCTGTGCGTTTCCCCCGTCGCCACCACGAAGTCCTCGGGCTCGTCTTGTTGGAGCATCAACCACATAGCCTGTACAAATCAAATAAAAAAAATTTTATTCAACACTAGCGGCCGGCTCCGGCTCCGCTCGGGTCTTTAACAAAAAATTCAGCTATATTTGACGGTGTTTTATTTTTTAAAATAAAAGAACACTTATTGCTCATAACTACAATAGTTAGACTGAAGCTGTCGCGACAGTTTTTGTAATTAATAATGTGTTCTACAAAGTCGGAGTACATTATTTTATTCTATCATCAATAGTTTTCGCAGGGCACGCGATGTAAAGAATATTTTAGGTAATTTTTTTACACCTTGGATTACATTATTGGAGTTTTAGTAAAGATCCCTAATTTAAAAAAAAAAAAGATTATAGCCTATGTCACTCGGGAATAGTGTAACTTCCAAACATGGAAATATTTTTTTAAATCGGTTCAGTAGTTTCGGAGCCTATTCAATACAAACAAACAAACAAATCTTTCCTCTTTATAATATTAGTATAGATAAATGAAAGTACATACTTGTTGAACGTCAAAAAGAATTACCGCCAATTCACAAAAACTAGCCTCCGTCCTGAGAAGAACTAGCAACTGAACTCAGTGGTCATATCTTTTTTTTTTTTTTCCACAGATTCGGTAGAATCTGGCGCCAAGTTCCGTTCAAAAATCCCGTTGTAAACGGAGCGTCAGACTACCGACTGTGTTTACTGTGAGCAGAACAGTTTTTTGAAGTTGCGAAATTTTATTTAATTCTACGGTACTTCTGGTTCCTAAATTGTATATTATATCAATCACTCACAACTTTATTTTACTGATATTAACTAGTTNTTTATTTTTAAATTTTCAACAATTTTTTTTTAATTTTTTCATCTTTATGACGGTTTCTTGGTATTTTTTTGTATTTCACATATTTTTGTAGAGAATGAAAGCTATTGAAGTCTTCTTTTTTTTGTAAAGTGCAAATGTTATTGAGATGAGTTTTATAAACGTGGACTTGGCGCAATTTTTTACAGTGAAACTGTTTTTGTTCGGTTCATTTTTACAATGAGTATTATAACGTAACAATTATTGCAATATTGAAATCCCCGAGGCGAGCAACTCATTCCCACTTTGTGCAATCTTCTTCTAGATAATCATTGACTTTATAGTAAGCTTTATTACACAGATGTTCTTTAATAGTTTTCTTAAACCTATGTATATGTAGGTTCCGAACATCTTGTGGGATTTTGTTGTACAGGCGCACAGTACAGCAGTGGTTCCCAAACTTATTGAAGCGAAACTTCTTTAGAATCGTGATTTCAAACTCGATAAAACGAAAAAAGAAGTCCATAGAGACACAAACACATAAATGTTAATGGATTCAGCCGGCGAGAGAATGAGATAGAACACATTATACGTGAAGTTAAAATATCAATTCACAGAGGGCGCTACCTCATACTATAAAAGATGATTTACAATTATTTACTAATGACAAAATTTTACATATATACTTAGACATTTAGGATAATTGTATTTTAATTTTTGAAGGTTTCACTTCTGCCACGTGTGAATTGCACACATGTTTTTTTTTGTCTACTGCTTACTTTGAGAAAAAAAAAATTGTAGCGCCCCCATTTTTTCACCTACTTCAAAACCACTATAGCGAGAGCTCAGTCGGTGTTTAAAGAGTCCTCCGAGATGAAATTACAAATCGCCTCTCAAGCCTCTACACAACGCCCCCATTTTCTTTCTGGGTCTCTTACCGCCCACCTATAAACCTCCACCGCCCACAAGGGGGCGTTATCGCCCACTTTGAGAAGGTTGCTGTACGCTGTAGTCGCACTAACTATATGTCAAAATACTGTCAGATTTCAATCATTAATAACTACGGTGGTATTAATCTATATGAGATGTTTGCCACTACAACGAATAGTTGGAGTCTTAACGTTGAGTACGTGTCGAGATGCTGTCTTTGTTTTTCCTACATTACCTTATTACCATAACTTTGTCTTTTATATTTTTAAATATATCATTTTAAATTCTCAATGTTTTTTTTAATAGTTTAATTCTCTAGTAATTTTGACACCTATTAAATTGGTATTGATTGTATTATACTTCATTGCAAAGTAATATCTAAATCTAAAAAAAGACTTATATATAAGAGCGCGTTCAACACCGTACACATTACACGTACGTACATATTATATATCGCACCTTTAGAATTATTGAGACTAAACCCAAAAAATGCGTTTCTTGGAAAACATCGAATAAAGTTTTCAAGTCGAAAAGACGTAAATAAAAATAAAAAATAAACTTTTTAACTTGTGATGCGTATTATGTGCCAAATAAAAAAAAAGAGGAAGGGAAAGAAGTGAAAAAGACCGATGTATATGTTTGTCCCTTTTTAAGCTGTTCATTTGATAATTAAGAGTCGCTGAAAGGGGTCGTTCTAAGTCAATTTTTTATAATAATTAAAGTCGAAATTCAATAATTTCGAAATGGTTCTTTATAATTCTAAAGATGCGATTTGTCCTTTTAATTTTTTTTGACACAACCAAAATATCCGATATCTCACCTCGACGTAATCCTTGGCGTGCCCCCAATCTCTTTTGCTATCCAAGTTCCCTAACTCCAAATAAGGCATGAGGCCTAGGGTAATTTTGGCGACACCTCTCGTTATCTTCCTCGTGACGAAGTTCTCGCCACGCCGTGGACTCTCGTGGTTGAACAGTAGTCCGTTACAGGCGAACATTTGATACGCCTCTCTGTAGTTCACAACTATCCAATACGCGTACAGTTTAGCGCAAGCTGTGGACAAACGAGATCTCTTTATAATATTGGCATCCACTTTCTAAAAAACCCCAAGTCGCCGTGTATTGGCTTCAAAATCTGGCCTGTAAAACTCTTATCGCTTTGACTGCTATGTAGGTCACGGGTGCCTACTTCAAAGTGTATCCAGATATAGCCTTGGATCATGTTGTTAAACCTCGCAGCATAAACTTGTTAAAAATATACCGTGGACTTTCCAGCAGTACTCTGCACCTGGTCACAAGGCACGAACTACCCAAGACTGGCTTGAAAGTTGAAACCAACGATCCAAAGTTTAGAAGAGCTAAAAACAGGCCCTCATCTAGCCCAGACCTCAGCCCTTTAGACTTCAAATTATGGTGAGTTTGTGTCTGTCGGTTAATTTACTTGTCGAGCCCTTCGTCGCAAGCGACGGGTTCGACGAGAACGATGACCGGTGCTTGAGGTACCTAAAAGCACCGTGAGTGGATCGGGAGGATCTGAAATGACGTCGACTGCTTTCCATTCTGTCCGCAGGATCGGGAATGTAGTCACCGGCGGCCACGATGAGAGGGTTCTCGTGTCGTGCCGCTTTATCTAAGTAGAGTGGGCAGTGCCGTATCTACTTTTGCCGTGAAACATTCAAGACTCCTGTCCTCTGATAAAATTCATCGTATGGTACCTCGAAAAGACGATCAATTCTAAGAAATTCATTTTAATAAATGAGAAATGTGTGTATTTGTTTGTTTGCCAAAATTAGGTTAAGTAAAAGTAAAAGCTAGTTAAATGTATACATATATGTACTTTAAAAAATATAATGATTTTATCTTATACCTTTAAACGAGCAATTCTTGTATATATATACTTAAATATATATATATATATACATAATCTGAATCTCGGAAACGGCTCCAACGATTTTCATAAAATTTAGTATACAGGGGATTTCGGGGGGGATAAATCGATCTAGCTACGTTTTATTTTCAGAAAAAGTTGTTTTATTCCTGTTTTCAATAATCAACTCTTCCCGACATCTATTGGCGAATAATAATACTATTTTTCTTAATTGAGGGCAACTAACCGCTTAAAAGACACAAGATGGAGATATCAAAAAAAAAAACGAGCAAAGCTAGGTCATCATCTATACTTTTTAATCGGAAGTATCAAATAAAATAGGTACTTTTTTTAGTTTATCTCGTTATCCTGGCCAGGACCAATTAATAACGCCAAACGTGTGCGAATTTTTAACTTAAAATGAAATTTTTAAGTTACTGAATAATCCGTTACCTACTTAAATAGACAGATACAGGTTAAGCTAATGAAAGCGTGTTAAAATGGATACCGACGCGGCGACGTGTGTAAACTCACGAAAATGGGCTCATTTCGTAACAAGTAAAAGATGTACAGCTGTTCAACGTGTGTCAATAAAACACACACAATAGAATTCCAACATTTCACATTTCAGAGCTGTTTGTAAATTACTTTAAAATTCGTTTACATAACACAATTAAGATAGCAGAAATGAGTTTTTCGTTTGATTATTTTTTTAAATTTCTTTGTGGTTTTTTTAATTGCTTAGATGGGTGGACGAGACCACAGTCTATGGTGTTAAGTGGTTACCGGAGCCCATAGATATCTCGTAAATGCCGTCACCCACATTGAGACATGAGCTCTAAGGTCTCACTTTTAACAGTACAACGGCTGCCCCGCCCTTCAAACCAAAACGCGTTACTGCTTCACGGCACAAATAGTTAGGGTGGTCGTACCTACAGGTAAGGACATAAAGTCACGCTCTCAAGGGCTTATTGATTTTTAATAACGTAGATGAGATCAATGCCTTATATTATTAATTTTAAATACATAAAAGTGCATTACTTAACGGAAATCTCAAAAAACAAGATATCGATTATTTTTTTTATTGCTTAGATGTACATTATGAATATCGATATATAACTCAATTTTGTTGAAAGGCTATTTATTCTACATTCGACTTGAATTCGATACCTTTGCGTCAGATAATGCGTAGACTGTAAAAGCAGTGTTCTCTGACAAATTCTTTCTTCTAGTTCAAGTAATGACGTCAAACTATTGATAACACTGAATTTAACGCTACCCATACCAACAACACTTGCTGGTATTTATTTCTAGCATAACATTTCTGCCCCTGGCATTGCTGAAGTACATGGGCGACGGTAACCACTCACCATCAGGTGGGCCGTATGCTCGTCTGCCTACAAGGGCAATAAAAAAAAATAACACTTAATTAATATTCCTTAAATTATTTTATGAGTATAAATTTCTTACCATAAGGGGACCTAGGATAAAAAGGAGTTTTCTCATTCTGTGGTACTTCTACAGCTTTTCCATAGAGCTCGGATGTAGAAGCCTGGTATATTTTAGTATCTTTTTCAAGGCCGGCAGCTCTGACCGCTTCTAAGAGCCTCAAAGTACCAAGAGCGTCTACTTGTGCTGTGTATTCGCTTAATTCAAATGATACTTTTACATGAGATTGGGCCCCTAGATTGTATATCTCTATGGGCCGAGTCTGTAAGAGAATTTCATTGTAAGCAAGGATATTTTTATTGTTTTTATGAATGTTCAGTTGTTCATCATAATAGAAAAAATAATACATAAGTTTAACAGGAAACTTTATTCTAATAATAGAATATATAGATAGTGTCATGGTTGTGAATTTCCGGCCATTCAGTTTTTTTTTTTTTTCATATGCTTAGATGAGCGTCGACGAGCTCACGGCCCACCTGGTGTTAAGTGGTTACCGGAGCCCACAGACATCTACAAAATAAATGCCGCCACCCACCTTGAGATATGAGTTCTAAGGTCTCAGTATAGTTACAACGGCTGACCCACCCTTCAAACTGAAACATGCTTCACGGCAAAAATAGGCCGGGTGGTGGTATCTGCCCCTGCGGTCTCACAAGAGGTCCTACCACCAGTAATTACGCAAATTATAATTTTGAGAGTTTGATTTTTATTACACGATACTATTCCTTCACCGTGGAAGTCAATCGTGAACATTTGTTAAGTACGTATTTCATTAGAAAAATCGGCACCCGCCTGCGGGATTCGAACACCGTTGCATCGCTAGATACGGATGCACCGGACGTCTTATCCTTTAGGCCACGACGGCTTCACTTTTTTAAATCTACTGCAACACCATAAAGTACAAAAAAATTTATTGATAGTAAGTGTTATACTGGCATTAGAATATTCAGATATAATTTCCAATTTTTTTTATGACACTTTAACATTTACTTACTTAAGCTCAAATCTTTTGGTTATCACAGTTCACAACAAAATACTAACATTCCAGGTTATATAAGTTTTATTTTTCATTTATTTAAAATTTGTCTTATCAGTTATCACGGTTCATGGACCCATTAAAATGTATGTTGGGCCATATTCTTTGTTTCTGAACACGTTATATAGTTTATTTATTAGCGAATGAATAAAGGAATAAAAAACTTTGCAAAGAAAAAATCACGAAGTAAAATAAAAAAAATTTTTTTAAATAATTCATTAATATTGATAAGGATTTTCCAACATAACATGTGTATTATGAAATCTCATGGCCACTTATTCAACATGTAAAACTACAAGTCTAATGAATTCTATATTTAAAAACAGTTTTAGTTAATGGGTATACCTTTGCTATGATGCTAATAAGACATGACGTGTCACTCAAATCTCCGTAATGTAGGTGCATTTTACCACCCGTGTGACACGCGGGTTGTCCATACAAGTGTTGGATGCGGCCAGTGTTGAATGACGAGGATCGACGAAGGATCCCGTGAACTTCATAGCCTTTGTCTATGAGAAATTCTGCTAAGTATGAACCATCCTATAAAACGTATAATTATTAAACTGTCAAGGTAAAGTTTGGACACAAACACTGAAGTTTGATACAAAAAAAATAAGTTTTTTTTTCTTTATTCTTTCTGGCCATACCGCCCACCTGATGGTGAGTGGTTACCGTCGCCCATAGATTTCAGCAATGCCAGGGGCAGAGCCATTCCGCTGCCTAGCGCTAAGTACTCTCCAAAAACCTCGTTTGAAGAAGGACATATCATAGTGTTCAGGAAATGAGGAGAGCTCATTCCAAAACAGAATGGTACGTGGTACAGAATGGTAGGTGTAAGGGTAAAATCGAGATGATGGTATCATCTCAAAAAATTCCTCAGCGGTGAAGTCCCTCCGCACACCCAAGAGTTAAAATAAAAATATATATAATTTGATTTCGACTTTAATTTCTTAATCATTGTTATTTTTACAATAATTTTTGGTACGATACACGTACCGCTATGGTAATTCAACAGAATGATTATTTAAATAAATTAAGTACGTGTAAAAAAATCATTTTAAACATTTAGGATAGTACATACCTGGCCAGTTATTCCAGTTATTAAGGCAATTTTTTTCGGATCGATTACATTAGAACTATCTCCGGACATATTCAAATTTTAGGCAATCAAATTTTAAATTGTTATAGAAAATGTACTTTACACGTCCTCACTTCGGTACCGGCTCTGGCTGATAAGGCGTTTCTCTTGGCTCTTATCACAACAGTACTTACAAGCTATACACAGTAATCATAACCTAAGGAAATTCAATGGTGTCGAATAAATAAACGATATTAATTAAGACAACGATTTTTAGTGTTGCAGTAAAGTTAAATATTATAAATCAGTACTTAAGCTCAATTGGTAATACGATTCCCACTTTTGTTTGTACAGCCATGGCACAGCCTAAACCAAAACACAACATAATACACATAGATTATACACATAATATATTTGAGAACAATACATACAAAGACTATCACAATTTTTTTAAGGGATTTGTGACCTGATAACTGAGACCTTTAAGTAATGTCTTGTTGACTTCGACTTTTTGGTGGGAACGTGAGGAGTGAAGTTGAGTGATTTGTTTTATTTTGTCTATTTAATGTTTCTTCAGGTTGAAATGTACAATAACGTTGGTTTATTAACTGCCTAATATCTGTGAAAGTGCACAAATGTGGGAAAATGAAGCCAAGCCGCTGGACGTAACTTCTCTGGATCCTCCAAAAAGTCTACTGAAAAATCTCAGTAAATGACCGCCATTTTACTGAGATTATATTTCATCCCATATCATTTCATCTCCTTTCATTTAATTTCATCCCAGTTGATTAATGCCCCAAATTAATCACCTTCATTTCTTTTCATTTCATTTCACTCCATTTATCATTTTTCATAAAAATAAGAATATAAATTAAAATAAGACATGACCTAAAAGTCTTAGTTACCAGGTCATAAAATACCTTAAAAAAATAATAATGATAATACACATACCGCTTTGACATTAGTGACTGTAGATAATACAACCCATGTTGCGGAATTGTGATGATAATTAACAGCAAATTACTTAAAAAATATTGTTTGTTATTTATAAATAACATGTTTTAGGGTTAAATGAGTTTTAACAGTATGTAATAAATTATTTTTATGAAACATCGTACTGATTATTAATACACCACGGTACCTACTGGCGAATCATTTCGTGTCGTTAATATTCATAATCTTGAAACGTATATTTTCATAAGCTTCCTTGGATGTGGTAAAACTTATAATGCCGGATATTAAGATTACGCCACTCGGAGCGGGCCAGGATGTTGGTCGGAGCTGCATCTTGCTAACCATGGGTGGCAAAAACATAATGTTAGATTGTGGTATGCATATGGGCTACAACGATGAAAGAAGATTTCCTGATTTCTCTTACATTGTCCCGGAAGGCCCTATAACGAGTCAGATCGACTGCGTTATTATATCACATTTTCACCTAGATCACTGCGGTGCACTGCCCTATATGTCCGAAATGATTGGTTATACCGGCCCTATTTACATGACACACCCGACTAAAGCCATAGCACCAATCCTTCTCGAGGATATGAGGAAAGTCGCAGTGGAGCGCAAAGGTGAGTCAAACTTCTTCACTTCCCAAATGATAAAAGATTGTATGAAAAAAGTGACAGCTGTGACTCTCCATCAATCAGTAATGGTGGATAATGAATTAGAAATCAAAGCTTATTACGCAGGACATGTCTTAGGAGCTGCAATGTTCTGGATCAGAGTAGGGTCACAATCTGTGGTTTACACAGGTGATTACAACATGACACCTGATAGGCACTTAGGAGCCGCCTGGATTGACAAATGTAGACCTGATCTGCTCATAACAGAATCCACATATGCAACAACCATAAGAGATTCAAAACGCTGTCGTGAAAGAGATTTTCTCAAAAAAGTTCATGAATGTGTAGAAAAAGGAGGTAAGGTTCTGATTCCGGTGTTTGCATTAGGAAGGGCACAGGAACTTTGTATTTTATTGGAAACATATTGGGATCGTATGAATCTTAAATATCCAGTTTACTTTGCTCTTGGATTGACAGAAAAAGCAAACAATTACTATAAAATGTTTATAACATGGACCAATCAAAAAATAAGAAAGACATTTGTTCAAAGAAATATGTTTGACTTTAAGCATATTAAACCATTTGACAAGACATACATTGATAATCCCGGTGCTATGGTAGTTTTTGCTACACCTGGAATGTTGCATGCTGGATTGTCACTAAACATCTTTAAGAAATGGGCTCCTTATGAACAGAACATGGTGATTATGCCAGGATTCTGTGTGCAAGGCACAGTCGGACACAAGATCCTCAATGGAGCAAAGAAGGTTGAATTTGAAAACAGACAAGTGGTTGAAGTTAAAATGGCAGTAGAATACATGTCATTTTCAGCTCATGCTGATGCAAAAGGAATTATGCAATTGATACAATATTGTGAACCCAAAAATGTATTGTTGGTACATGGTGAAGCTCAAAAAATGGAGTTTTTGAAAGATAAAATAGAGAAGGAATTCAAAATTAGTTGTTTTATGCCAGCTAATGGTGAAACATGTGTTATAAATACTCCAACAACCATTCCTATTGATGTCTCGTTGAGGTTGCTGAAAGCTGAAGCAGTGAGATACAATGCCCAACCACCTGATCCAAAACGCAGGCGAGTTGTTAATGGGATTCTGTGTGTCAAAGATAACAGGCTATCATTACTAGACATTGATGAGATGTGTGATGAAATCGGAATAAACAGGCATATCATTAGATTCACAAGTACAGTTCGTTTTGAGGATCCGGGGCCAGCTATCAAGACTGCTGAAAAATTGCAGAATTTACTGACGGAAAAATTAGAAGGCTGGACTATAACTATATCGGAAGGAAACATATCAGTTGAGTCTGTACTCATCAAGGTAGAAGGTGAAGATGATAGCACAAAAAACATTTATGTTTCTTGGACAAACCAAGACGAAGACTTAGGTAGCTATATATTAGGGCTCCTGCAATCAATGGTTCAATATAGTCCAATGAAAGAATAAGAAATGTCATGTTTTAGGATTTTTATTATGAATTATTTTGTAATTTTGAATAAATTAGTTTTAGTTAATAATATTTGTTTTATGTACACCAAGTGATATCCACATTGCATTTTCCCTGGTACCATAAGTACTGAAGTCTGTTTGGTTTGTTCAAGTGCTTCAAGTCCTCTTCTTTTAAAGTAGCATTGGCTTTCTGGAATATAAAAATAGAATGTCAATAAAATACAATATTGAGTTTCACCTAGTGTGGACAAAAGAAAGTTTCTATAAATGCAAAGCAACATCTTTTTTATGGTTAAAAATAATGGAAGGTGATTTATGGTTTAGGATTCTTTTTCCATGGTGCCACAGTATGAGTCTCATAGAAAATGTGTCTTACTTCTGCACTACCTACCGATCTTAAATTGGTGTCCGTTATACATGTAGTCGTCGTGGCCTAAGGGATAAGTCGTCCGGTGCATTCGTGTTGAGCGATAACCCGTTTTTCGAATCCCAGGCAGGTACCAATTTTTCTAATGAAATACGTACTCAACAAATGTTCACGAATGACTTCCACGGTGAAGGAATAACATCGGGTAATAAAAATCAAACCCGCAAAATTATAATTTACGTAATTACTGGTGGTAAGACCTCATGTGAGTCCGCACGGGTAGGTACCACGACCCTGCCTATTTCTGCCGTGAAGCAGTAATGCGTTTCGGCTTGAAGGGTGGGGCAGCCAGCCGTTGTAACTATACAACCTTGCAACTTATATCTCAAGGTGGGTGGCGTATTTACGTTGTAAATTCTCTAAGTCTATGGGCTCCAGTAACTACTTAACACCAGGTGGGCTGTGAGCTCGTTCACCCATCTAAGCAATAAAAAAAAAATCACACCCAGATTCTAATTCACATAGCAATTTGATCTTGACTTAGGTGACCCTAGCTGCACTGAATTCCCGAATATTACTACCTCATTTCTATTACGACCCATGTAGATTTAGTATTTAACTTTTAGCAGTATTTACGATTTTTTACTTATACCGCAGGCGGGTACCAATTTTTCTATTGAAATACGTACTTAACAATTGTTCACGATTGACTTCCACGGTGAAGGAATAACATCGTGTAATAAAAATCAAACCCGCAAAATTATAATTTGCGTAATTACTGGTGGTAGGACCTCTTGTGAGTCCGCACGGGTAGGTACCACCGCCCCGCCTATTTCTGCCGTGAAGCAGTAATGCGTTTCGGTTTGAAGGATAGGGCAGCCGTTGTAACTATACTGAGACCTTAGAACTTCTATCTCAAGGTGTGTGGCGCATTAACGTTGTAGATGTCTATGGGTTCCAGTAACCACTTAACACTAGGTGGGCTGTGAGCTCGTCCACCGATCTAGGCAATAAAAAAAAAATAAAATAAAAAAAACCCCCAAAACTTAATCAAGGAGAATTTAGTTATATAACTAATATGTACATCGAGTACAATAAAAATAAATCATCTCCATCAAAGTACCTTAAATCACTATAGCAAGTATTTTCATATCAGTAGTTGGTCCCATGTCGAATACATTTTCATTACACCAAAAAGGTGTCACATACCTTCTGCATACATATATCACTGATTAATTTACTCGTGAATTTACGAATACAATTAAAGTCTGCCATGAGTTTAATTTTAATTTCATCACTTTACCCAACGTAGAAATTAGTAAGAAAAGTAAAGAGAGCGACATATTAGATTTTTTGAAGGGATAAAATCGTTTGATTTGTTAAAAAAAACATGTTGTTTTGTATGCAACGGTCAAATTGAGTTCATATCGCGGACTGATCGAAAATCGAATCCTAACTATACTTATCTTAAGTATACCTATATTTATATGTTAATCATAATTTCGCTCACATCGCTGTTACTTGTCAAAGAATCAATTTTCCCGCCAATCAGTACAGACTTAGAGGTGAGTTTTATAAGTACGAGTATTGACTTAAGATTGTAAATAATTTAGGCTAATGTCTCGCATCTTCACGCTTATACTTGTTAGTTACCTTGAAAATTATAAAGCAAATAACACATGCATGTTAATTCTGTTAAAGTATAACGGCATTAAAAAACAACCAACTGACCTTTATTTTGTAACTGTAAGTATCTAGTAGGTACGTACGCACGTACCTACTAGATACTTACAGTTACGTACGTACGTACCTACTTAGTAGATATCTATTCTTGTACCAAAATGGGTAGTTATGATATAAGTGAGCCTACGTCAGAAATAAAAAGGACAGTGGTCACTACATGTGCACTAGGAGTGGGTAATATCGGTTTTGCCGCGTATCGAATCGTATCTATATATCGAGGATCAATATCGGATATTGAATCTATATATTTTCTGAATCTATATATTGATGGATGCTAGTAGATTTTCTCGATTCATGATATTTGAGATTTGAAACGATACGCTGATATAATATCGTAGTAGATATAGATTTAAGTCAACGTTATACGGTTGGTTTTCTGATATCAATTTATAATATGATCTTAAAGTAATAAAAAGAACATGAAAATAAAAATATCAAAAAAACTTTCCTTCATGCTTTTACCAGGCTTAGGACTGGCTACATTATTTTCANATGAGTCGACTATTATCAAAGGCGGCAATCTGACTTTTGGACAATGATTGGTAAATCAGAAAAACGAATTATTGACTTTGTATTCCATTGGCAGTCACAAAACTCTTCGGAACGACATCTTAGATAAATAACAGGTTAACTATTAACCTTTATTTAATGCAGGTTTTGAACCGTATTCTTTGAAGGAGACGATTATATTCAAATAAATCTGTATTGACATATCAATAAAAAATTTTTGTCCAAATGTACAGATTGCCGCCTTTGATAATAGACGACTCACTTATCTTAAGTATACCTATATTTATATGTTAATCATAATTTCGCTCACATCGCTGTTACTTGTCAAAGAATCAATTTTCCCGCCAATCAGTACAGATTTAGAGGTGAGTTTTATAAGTACGAGTATTGAATTAATATTGTAAATAATTTAGGCTAATGTCTCGCATCTTCACGCTTATACTTGTTAGTTACCTTGAAAATTATAAAGGAAATAACACATGCATGTTAATTCTGTTAAAGTATTACGGCATTAAAAAACAACCAACTGACCTTTATTTTGTAACTGTAAGTATCTAGTAGTAACTGTAAGTATCACGTACGTACGTACGTACCTACTAGATACCTATTCTTGTACCAAAATGGGTAGTTATGATATAAGTGAGCCTACATCAGAAATAAAAAGGACGGTGGTCACTACATGTGCACTAGAATCTAAATAACACGTCATTATATTATGTTTTCATCTTTCTAACATCGCGGTGCTACCCAATAAAAGTCTCACAATTATGTTTTAAAGTACAAAAATAAATACTTAATTACTATAACTAACTATTTAGCCCTTTAAAGATTTTTATTATTTGTCATATTTTTTTTACGTTTAGGTACGGTTTACGATTTTGTTCTGAGTTATGGGTATCTACTGGAAAAGATATACTACAGACCGCTAATACTAAAAATCGACGGTATTGTAAACCCGCACGAGTAGGCACCACTATTTTTCTACCGTGTTGTGACTGCTATGGGTTCCGACAATCACTTAACTCCAGGTGGATCGTGAACTCGTTAACCAATTCCATTAAATCAGTTACATCGGACATCTTATAAGCCATTATGATTTCCATTTTTTTTATTCATTGGGCTTTATGTCTATCTTTCTATTTATTTTCAGACTTATTTAGAGGTTTTATTTTATTAAAATATAATTACAATTTTTTTTACATCCATGTCGTCAAGTAATATTAAAAACATAAATTCAAATTCTTAATGTTAATTAAGTAATGAAATTAATCAGACATTAACATTTTCTGTTATTGATTATAATAATATTTATTGTCTTTATAACGCATTTTCTGATTTTGAGACTAGTATAAGCTCCATAGATATGACCATGTATTTTACGAATTACTAAAATCAAAAACAAACAATAAAAGAGTTAATTAAAATTACTTAAACGGTATAATCTCGATTGTAAAAAGTAGATTAGAACCATAAAAGTTGTTTTAATAATGTCTGCGACTTGCGAATACCGAAGAAAATACAATAAAGGTGATTTTAAATCATAATGATATCATAAAAGTCATGCAACAAGCCTCAGTACGTTGCCCCTTGATATGTATTTTCACCTCGATGTTATAATTTGTTTTATCGATCATATTCTAACTATAACATTATAATTGCGAGGGAGTGTGCTATTGTTAATATTTAAAACAGTTGAATTGGCATTATGAAATATTTTATTTAAATTGATTTCGTTTTTATATCGCTTCATTTTAATCAAGAAGTTTTTTGTGCAATTTAAGCGGATAGTGATTCCTGGGTTCTTTTTTTATTACTTAGATAGGTGGACGAGCTCACAGCCCCCTGGTGTCAAGTGATTAATGGAGTCCATAGACATCTACGACGTAAATGCGTCGCCCACCTTGAGATATAACTTCTAAGGTTTCAAGTTTAGTTACAACGGCTGCCCCACCCTTCAAACCGAAACGCATTACAGCTTCACGGCAGAAATAGACAGGGTGGTGGTACCTACCCGCGCGGACTCACTAGAGGTCCTACCATCAGTAAACCAGAAGTCCTACCACCAGTAAACAAGAAGTCCTACTACAAGTAAGAAGACGTCCTACCACCAGTAAATAAGAGGTCCTACCACCAGTAAACAAGAGAACAAAACAAGAGTGTTTGTGTGTAGAGAGCACTTCTTGTGCTGTAGTGCTATATTATTATGTCAGAATATGAGACGTCAGGCAAAATCCTGAATCGTGCTAACGACATTTACAAAGTTAATTATTCAAGTACCTAAATACAGCAATCAGACCACTAGTAATGAGACCCGTTTAAAAATAATAGGTAAGTTCTTACTCATAGAAGTTACATAATATAATGGCAGATAAATTAATGCAAACAAGGTCAACTACTTTCAACCCTCGAAGTTACCTGCACGCAACTGCTACAGTGCACGTTGGAAGACTAAAGGCAATTATGTACCATTACATTTTTATTGGTTTAGTAAACTCTATTACATAAAAAAACCCGATGTGCAAGTAGTTATGTTATAGAAAATGAAATAAAAAAACAAACGTGTGGCACTCGGGAACAGCCGCGGTAAAGCTATTGCATAGCATTTTTTATCAACTTATGCAATTATAATTAGACTATGATAATTTAATATTAAAACAATAATAAAACAAGACCACGCTATATTAAACATTAATAAAAGCAAAACCTTCTCAGTCCCCTTCACACTCATAAGCTAGACCGCGCGAGAGAGAGATGGGCAGACTTTTCACGATGCGCAGTGTGACGTCACGCCACGCGCTTATTCACAAACACTACACTAGCGCAACGTGTGAATGTTGAACGCGCGCTACATGGTAGGCGGAGTGAGGAGTGTAAGGTTTTTTTCGTTACGGAATTTCATGATTCGGTCGCCGCGCTCAAGGCCCGCGATAAAAGCTATGCAATAGCTTAAAAAATCGGTTTATTACAGTTTTTTTTTTATAATTTTAATGTGGAAATGATTCGTCTAGTCTTTTTCTTTTACAAAGAGTCGCTGACCTTCACATTACAGACGCTACAATGCTTCATTGTGATTAGCGCCTTAGCTACCAAACAAAATTTTCATTCAATATAAAAGTCTTGCATTAACAACAGTGAGATGCCTAATTTAACTTAAGGTCGGTCGCTTTGGAACCGTACATGTTAATGTTCAATGGATTAAATAGTGTGTCTAAAGTTATATTGGAATTTCAATATTGAGGCAGTATTTTATCAAGCATTGACTAAACAGTGTTTTTTCCGGATTAAAACGATTTTTTTTATTTAGGCACTAAAGATTATAATAAAGACTTATAGCTCGTTATCTATACTAAAATTATAAAGAGGAAATATTTGTTTTTTGTTTGTTTATATTGAATAGGCTCCGAAACGACTGAACAGATTTGAAAAATTCTTTCACTGTTTGGAAGCTACACTATTCCCGAGTGACATAGGCTTTATTAAAACTTCAATAATGTAACCGAAGGTATAAAAAAATTACCTAAAATATTCTTTACATCGCGTGTCCTGCGAAAACTATTGATGATAGAATAAAATAATGTACTATTGACTTTGTAGAACACAATGAGATTATTATTTACAAAAAGTGTCGCGACAGCATATGTCCAACTATTATAGTTATGCCGCAATAAGTGTTCTTTTATTTTTAAAAATAAAACAGCGTCAAATTTCGTTGAATTTTTTGTTACAGACCCGAGCGAAGCCGGAGCGGGCCGCTAGTTAACTTATAAAATTGAGAACAGTAAAAAAACAAACTAACTATTTTGTAAAGTCTTTACAAAATAAGGACTTTTTCAAAATGCAGTCAGTACAAGTTTTGTGAACCCGCTAAACGAACGCAGCTGACGAACGTCTCCCAGCTTTCGATTTGATGGATAGGTTCTGCCTATTTCTGCCGCGAAGCAGCTATGACTTTCAATTTGAAAGGTGAGACAGTCGTTACCCAAGAAAATTGAGATTTCGCGTTCCGTTTTATGTTGAGTAGATGAATTCACGTTGCAATATCTATAAGAACCGGTAACTAGATTGATATTGGAATCGTTAAACCACGTAATTAGTAAAAAAGTATTAACATAACAAATAACAAATGTTATAGTTTTGCGACTCATCGCGTTCTATCGGCGGCCGGACAATACATTTCAGGGTTATTTAGTTTGTAGATAATTTTGTCGGAATTCATTGTCAGTTAAGATAACAAGTGTTAGTTACTTTTATCAACAGACATATGACACAGATTCTGTGTTCGTAGATAATTTAAGCGATTACGAGTCGAGTACTTAACTGGAATTTATTTGTTTTTTTTTTAACAATTTATCTATATATTAATACGTGAAGCAAAAACTTTGTATCCCTTTTTACGAAAATTGCGCGGACGGAGGAGTATGAAATTTTGCACACTTATAGAGAATATAGAAAAGAAGTGTACAATGGTAATTTTTTTTTTAAAATAATGCTTAAGAGATACATTAAATCAATAAATAAAACATTACCCACACTACATACCATGTATTTGACGCACACACGCATGCATACTATTTAATTTTATTGTCAAACTTTTGTTCTTGGCGTCTGTTGTCAAATTAAGAATAGATTAATTAATGTTTGTCTTTGTTAATACTTTTTATAGTGGCGAATTTTGTAATTATAGAAATATAAAATACAATCATAATAGTGTACAAACTTACAATTCCAATTAATTATAGTCGAATTTCGACTACTGAGGGACCTCTAGTATATATATATATATTGTATATATTTATATAATATTTTATATATATTGACATTTCTTTTCTTTTTACTTGTTAAATTTGAATTTCAAAGTACGTTTTCGTTAGGTATCCTTTTTATTTTTATTATTGTATTCCATCTTCGGGCCGATGAATTGCCAATGTTATGTACGCCATTATTGTCACATGCATCAGGCCATAAATTAAATAGTTTTATTTTCAATGTTAAATGTTTGTGATGTGGCAGTACTTTTTTTAAATAAATAAATAAACAGAATAAAACTAAAGTTTTATTCGAGAATGTCACATGCAATAATTATGTAGTAAAAATTAAGAGATGTATGAAAATATGTAGACATATTATAATTTCTCAATATATTTTTGGCTGCGTGGTTAACTAGGATAACACCATTCCATCTCTGCACATGGGTTTTGTAAAGGAAACTAAGGGATTTAATTTCATTTTTCTTTTCATAAACAAGTACTAGGATTTTATTTAAAAAAAAAAAACACCAGCAGTGAAATAAAATGATGACTGACTAAAAGTTAAATTATGTCCACGGCTCGCAAAAACCTAAGAAAATACAACATTTTTCATGAATTTATTATTTAATACTTGAGCGGGAATAACAAACAGAGATCTTGCTTTTTACTATTTCTTCAACTTACCATAGGCGGTGGGAACAACCTCCTAAAGTCTCCCTTATGAAGAAACTCCTTATGGGCCTTAAGGAAGACGCTTCGCAACCTTGCGCTCAGACAGGGACGACAGAGCTCACATATTAGATTCATGTGACAATTATCTCTACAAGTAGTCGTGCATATTTCGCCCCATACGGCTATGTTTTTCTGTGAAGACACCATGTTCTGAGCAGCTGAATCTCTAAATTATGAAAAAAATATTGATTATTGTCGAAGCTCTCTCTCATTCTCTTTTTATTGCTTAGATATATGAACGAGCTCAATGCCTATCTGGTGTTAAGTGGTTTCCGGAGCCAATAGACGTCAATGACGTAAATGCTCGCCCCATCGTTCAAACATGAATTCTATAGTTCAATATTTTTAATTCATTTTGATTACATTCCGTTATACATAAATCGGTGAGCTTGGATTCAGTTAAGTTGTTGACTGATTTAGATTACATGTAAAATGTTATTGAACATATTGTATATTGATGTCCATAAACGACTTATTACAATCAATTAGTCCACTGAGTTTCTCGCCGGATCTTCTCAGTGGGTCGCGTTTCCGATCCGGTGGTAGATTCTGCGAAGCACGGCTCTTGCTAGGGTTCGTGTTAGCATCGTCGTCAGGTTTGAGTCCCGTGAGCTCACCTACTAGTTATGGTTACGCTGGAATTGCCTCTCTAGGCTACCAGCTTAGGTAGGAAAAAAAAAAAACAATCAAGTTCCGCAGGTGGTACCACAAATTTGCGTGCCTTTATTTACTAAAATAACGTGCTCTAATATTAATCTTTTATCGAACAACCCACGCATTATTCGTTCATGTGTGGATGTATTACCACATGGGAAATTATAAAATGCTACCATTATACAAAGAGAACATTTACATCCAAGACATCTTAAAACCAATTAGGTTAAGTAACATAAAACCGTATGCTCCGAATTGAGAGCCTCCTTTTTTGCTTGAGGTCGGTTGAAAAGCGATTATGCCTAAGTGACAGTTTTAAGGTAACTACTAGCACTTTTAATTTAAATTATATTAGCTTCGTCTAAGAATCGTGATTAAATCTTTTGGCACTAAATATTCAATGTTTTAAATTCAAATTTATGATTTTTCTATGTTTTGATTTTTGTTTTTAAATTGAACGTACTGAACTTATGAACATGGAGCCATAAAAAAATAGCGTAATCAAATACGTGTTCCGGGGTGCGTTATATATTCTATTTTATCGTATCAGACACAGGCTATTTCAATGCTACCTTTGAAGAGGACGCAACTAATCAGCGCATGGTAGTGGTTTTTTATTGAATCGCTTGAACGACGCAATAAGATCAGACACTAAAGTGAATAATGAGCTAACATTATCATCACTACTTAACATCAGTTGGGCTGTGAGCTCGTACATCTAAAAGTAAGTAAGTAAGTAAAGTGTAAGTAAAAAAATATTATTTTTGGTTACTTTGTAAATCCAATGTTAGCGATAACGGTCGTGTCTACAACTTAACTGGTCTGTGTCGAGTTTTTTAACATTCTCGATAGCGCAAAAGTTAGCTCATATTTGTATGAAATGGGATCGTTTGCGTACGTTTACCGCTAGGGGCGCTGTTCCAACTGCATACAAAATTGGCTTAACACTCGAGAACGTTAAGAAACCCGCACTAAGCACACTGTTATCATAACACGGAAATAATAAATACCTTAACCTCAAAATGTCAAAATATTTACCCGAGACTATTCTCTTGGATATGATCAGCTATGCCAACCAGTCCGAACAAGTTGTACAGAACCTGCTCGTACAACAGCTGGTTGGGAGGGTAGTGAGCAGACGACAAGTTGGGCGACATGTTGGCTTCTAACAAATACACTTTTAGATCTTCATCGACGACCAGATCAAAACGCATTAGTTCGAAGAAGTTTTCTGTTGACGGATACGATTTCAACTAAAAAATAAGAAATAGCATTTAGGGAATAAAAATAGTCATTAATAGTCGGTCAGTGTTGCCAGTACAATAATATGTAGTTTTTTTTTCAATATCTTTTTTGTAACAGTACTGACACTTTTGAGATAGCTGTGACATAACTATAATGGTGCTGGATATAATTAGTACAGTGGTTGCTAGAAATCTACATATTAGGGTTACATATTTTTTATGTTTCAATCAATTTGACGCACCATTCCCTGTCTGGTGTGTGGTCAGACTAGATTTATATTTACTTTCCATAATATAGTTTGTTCTACCAATTTTAGGATTTGTAGATATTGATTACTATATAATACATAAAATATTTCTTAACTTGTAGATAAGAAACCGTGAGACAAAATGTCATCATAACTTTATGCGAATCCGCTTATAACGATTTTTGAACAAAGCATAAATCTAATAAACCTTCTGATGTGGAAATTTTAAGCTTTATTGTTCACTCACTTGGTTATTTAACACTGGATCGAATTATCACAATATATTGACTTGAAACATCAAAAAATAATAATTAAAGGTCATTTCACTTACAGTTTCGACAATATGATGCTCTTTTTTCACAAATACCTCAGCTATAGCGTTTTGTATTTCCCTCCACATCTTTGTAGGGTCTTTCCCCTGAAATCAAAACTAATGTTCATCATCATACGTTCACACGTCGTTAAAGTAGCTAATTAACTCAATTATCTGAATTGAAAGTTTGTAGAGCTGTGAAAGATATTGAGATAATATTATCGGCGTTATTTCACAGGTAACGATTTGGTGAGCAGGGATGTACCTACATACAGCCACGTACATAGAGTGTTGCCAGGCTAGATAATCTTCACAGATTCATTTTTAATTGAAATAATTTTATCATAGACAGTCCAGTTATGACGACCATATAAAACACGCGACTTCTATTATGTTTATTTAGTTTGTATAATAATATATTCTGCTATTAGTTTGAGAATCATCTAGCAGTGTAGTTAACTAATATTGTTGCTTTTACTTTTTAATTGAAGTAGAAGTTGAAGTTGAAGTTAGTTTTACTTTTTACTTAAAGTTGAAGTTAGTAGAGTAAGAAACACATCTTCCACCTTTGTTTTAGCATAAATGTCGAAAGCATCTCTCATGCTGAACCCAAGGGCAGTGTAAGGATGCGACAGCGAAGGTACCTCCCAGGTAGGGAGGTAGTCGTCCCTAATGACATATTTATCCAAATCCTTTGGATCGAAAGGATAATACTTTGCCGGACAGTACCTAAAAACAAAAAATTTGGTTAATATTTTTTTTTTATCATCGCCACTTTGACTTGGTACTGAGGTACCTAAAAGCACGTTAGTGGATCGGGAGGATCCGAAATGCNGATGCGACAGCGAAGGTACCTCCCAGGTAGGGAGGTAGTCGTCCCTAATGACATATTTATCCAAATCCTTTGGATCGAAAGGATAATACTTTGCCGGACAGTACCTAAAAACAAAAAATTTGGTTAATATTTTTTTTTTATCATCGCCACTTTGACTTGGTACTGAGGTACCTAAAAGCACGTTAGTGGATCGGGAGGATCCGAAATGCATTTTTTAAGGGCGACGTCGACTACATTCCATTCTGTCCGTAGGATCGGGAATGTGTTCACAGCTAATGTAGCGGAACTATTAAAAAGTATTCGTAACTTCGCAGTATTAGCGACAAAACGGCTTGGTAATTTGATCTGGTTCAAGAATAAGTCATGTCTTTTTTTATTACCCCGTTAGATGAAGCTCACATCGCACCTGTGTGCTTAGTGCGAGTTTTTTAACGTTCTCGAAAGCGTATAAGTTAACTCAAATTTGTATGGAGTTGGAACGTTTGCCTACGTTTACCGCTAGGGGCGCTGTTCCAAGCACACTGTTAAGCACACTGGTGTTAAATAGTTAGGTACTGGTGTCTATTTACATCATAATGTCTCATCAACTCTGAGACATAAGGTCGAACTTACAGCAGCATCAACCAGCGCGTATATAGGTAGTAATATTTACTTTAATAGAATATACATTTTTCATTACTAAACAGACTGTACACCTCTTCTTAGATCTCATTCGTGTTTCGAAGCTACAAATTGTCAATGGAATTTAGAATCTATTGAACAACTAATAAGATCGAAGAATATTTGGTTGAACTAACGGAAACAACAGAAAATAACAGAAAAATTAAACAATATTACGAAATCTATTGATTGTACTAAAAATAAATTATAACAAACAAGTCAACGACATTAAATACCTGAAGAGGACATCTCCTTTGTACCAATATGCTCTCAAGGGGTTAACCGAGGTTAGAACTACGTACACGCCAATATCAAACTTGTGACCGTCGACTAAGAACGGTTTTTGCACGTATTCTTGAACGAAACTTTCCCCGCCAGCCAGATTTATTTCGCTCACGTTTTTTAAGTAAACACCTCTGTGTTGATTGTGCTTTTCCAAAAACAAGGCGCCTTCGTTCTCAGCGGCGTATTTAAAAAAATCTTCTTTATTCTGTGGCAGTTTGAACGCCTTCGGGATGTATTTCGATTCAGTCGTGGCAAGGTCTACTTTGTTCGTCACGAAACCCGCTCCGGGGTAGTGATTGACTTTCTGATTTGGTTTTAAACTGTGTAAATTAGGGTACAGTACTCGAAAAGGATAATCGTGGGACCATAACAAGTTCCAATCGGATTCGTTCGTGGTTTTTTCGTAACCGATTCGTTTTAGGACGCGATGCACGTGCTTTAACAAACCGTCAGGATTGTTGACGTCATTCTGAGCAGAATAAACCCAATAACGTTTCTTGATGGCGCGCTCTGCGTATTTATCGTTTATATTTTCCGAGTTTATCATCCTCCTCATTAGCACGGCCATTACAACGCCTGTTATACACACCAGAATGAATATGTTAAAATTATTTCTGGCGTTTTCGTATTTCGACGTTTCATAAGCATTTCTAACGTTAATAGGCTCGACGAGACGCGTTTTCTCGTTCGTATTTTTGTCGATAACTTTATTTTCGTTAAATTCTGACGCATTCGTGTCCTGAAATAAGGTGATTCGTTCATTGAATAAAACGATTTTCGTATTGGTAGCTATAATGGTTTTTGGAGGTAATAAGTATAGGCTTATCTATGTATTAACTATATTTTTATTATCTACTTAATTTCGCTCTATTCTATCTGGACTAGCGGAAAAGCGTGTTGTGACGCACATAGGTACATTTGCCGTCCTAGTTTAAAGATTTTGACTTCTAATTTCAAAATTATCTTACATTTGCCGTCTCTCAGTTCCAGTAACTGCTCATAACCAAAGTGCATTCTCTTTTTTTTATGGCTTAGATGTGTGGACGATCTCACAGCCCACCTGGTGTTAAGTGGTTACTGGAGCCCATAGACATCTACAACGTAAATGCGCACCCACCCACAGATATAAGTTCTAAGGTCTCAATATAGTTACAACGGCTGCCCCATCCTTCAAACTCAAACGCATTACTGTTTCACGGCAGAAATAGGCAGGGTGGTGGTACCTATCCGTGCGGGCTCACAAGAGGTCCTACCACCAGTAAACTCTCCAATAAAACTTTTCTTCTATCATATAATCAAATAAGATTGTTTTACCAGGCCCAGAACAAGAATATATTGTAAATTTCATAAAAAAATGCCTTCTTAAATTCTGTAGTCCAAATAAATGTCCGCACTCAAGATTCGATTCCTTGTTTGCGTCCTTGACAACGAAATTTAACCGAAACAATCGTATTTAAGTGCAAAAACAAGTTTGAGAAACTCAATTTAAACATCCACAAACCGAATATGTAAACTTCGCGGAACTTTCGTCTTAAACGGTTCACAAACGACTTATATCCAGATCATTATTTAGATTAAGATAATAAAGATCACTGACCTTCACATCGGCGTCCATCTTAATTATTTAACTTCACTTTTTAGTACCATAATATTACGATTTCGCAACTGTGTTTAAGAACGGATTCGAAATGAATGAGGATGTATGCCCACTATGTGGAAAGAGATAGCATGTGGTTAGAGCGAGGTAGGAAGAAACTTTCTAAATGATAGTAGGCCCCAGCCTTTTAGGGTCACATCAACAGATATCACACGTTCTACTATTCGAATGTGTAATGTTGATCGAACGATAAACTGCGCAAGAACTATAACAAATTTACTGGGACAGCGTCGGGTGAGACCACGTGGGTCGGTACCATCATTCTGCCTATTTCTGCCGCGATGCAGCAATGCGTTCCGGTTTAATGGGTGGGGCAGTCGTTTAATCTTACATTTGAGGCTTAGACCTCATGTCTCAAGATGGGTGCATTCACACGTATAGCTTGGTTACAATATCTCTGGACCTCGCTGGAATGTGAAGCCCCTCCCCGTTTCCCTTTCGCCAGGTCCAGAGATAATGTAACCGGGTTGTAATGATTTCTATGGAGTCAGGTAACCACTTAAAGGCAGTGAGTTTGGAATTTAAATTTCAACCTCATTTCTCAAGATACCCCAAGAGCTCTAGTTAATATTTCATACTAAGTCTCATTTTGGTCATAGGCATTAAAAAATAATTAAACAAATGACAACGCACCTTTTATTTAAAAGATAAAAACAACTATTGGTGGAAAAACAACATGATGTGAGTAATTGTTAATAACAGATCGGTAATTCGTGGTTTTAGACTTAACTAGAGACCAACTATGGTATCACATTATTGCCATCACAAGCATGACCAACACACGTGAACGGCACGGTATAACGCGTGGAAATTTATTTAAAAAAAAATGTTTATGGATTACCTATCTAAGTTTAGGTTTTTGATGATAAAAGTATTTATAATAGAGCCAAGTGTAAAACGGTGTGAAGAATCTTGGCATATACATACATACTTAACTGTGTAATTTATTTTGGTTAGATTTAAAATTTTCAAGAAAAAGCACGGTCAAGTATTTAGCCTAGAAGTTTCTTCAGTGAAAGAGTTGCGCAAAATTATTATTTCTAATCGACCTACTATGTCTTTAGCGATTAGAATAATAATTTAAAAAAACATAAATATAAAATTCATAACGTTTTTATTTGTTTTGTTTACGTATTTAGTGTTAAGATTTTGTCTATATCCTGTGCATAATGCTGACAGCATGTATAGATATAGTGAGAAAGGATTTTCCTTCGTAATTTTTCGGAAAAGTTTGTATTTATCGTGTTCTCTCCATAGATCTAGGTTTCATACTTCAGTGGTTCTCTCAAATAGTTTCAGTATAATGACTTTATTTATTTTCACATTTGACTCTAAACAATAAAGTTTCATATTAATGGATATGAAAATATCACTCATTTAATACGATCATTCATTGACAGTTCGGGTGTCATCGTATTCCGATAAAGATCCGAGTTTTCCCGAAGGAAAATAATTTCTTACTACAGCTAGGTATATAGATTATATTTCATAATGATCGGTTGAGTAGTTAAGATGCGAAATCGTAGCACACAAAGTTGCTTTCGCATATATTATATACGAGTATTTAATATAATGTAATGGGACGAATTTTCCTTAATAATAATTAAATACGTCTTGTGGGTATACTAAACATATTTTTTTATTCGAGAATGTTTTCGAAATTGAGTTTGACAGTGTTTATCCAAATGTCATAGAGCTTGAACATTAATTAGTATAGTGAAATGTAAGAAACATCTTAAAATGTTTCTAGAAGGGTTGGTCACTAGTTACTTATCAGGTTTTGTTCTACTAACTAATAGATGTCGCTGTAATTAACATTCGATTAGATCTTTTTTTCTTTTTTCCATTTAACTACTTCCTAATAACTTCGAGAGGATATGCTAGCTTCATGGGACGTGTAGGCGAGCTCACAGGTCACAGGGCTCAGCCTGGGACTTTGCCCTAGTAAGAACAGTGCCTCGGTGAATGAACCACCAGAACACAGTGGGCGGAAGGATCCGAAAAGACTTGAGGCATCATCGCTACTGTCTTCTTTAAATAAAAAAGCTATTCATTAAAATATTAAAATATTCAGGAAAATTCGTATTATTTATGCGGGTGTAGATTAGAATAATTAATAAGAGAGAAGAGAATAATAAGAAATGTTTGCTAAATTACCGAGTTTCGATCATAATCACAAAACAGTTCAAGATTTTGATTATTATTTTTTTTTCTTTTTTTTTTCTTTTATGACTCTGGACGTGATGACACTTTGATGACACTTTTTTTCTTACTTAAGGTGAGAAAAAGTGGTGGTTATTAATAATAAAAATCTGTTGACAAACAGAGGAGAAAATGTTATTTTACGGTTTATATGTTATGAATATTATGAGCAGGGGTAGATACAGGTTAGATAGCTATTCAATTGCGGATACCTGCGGAAACATGTGGACAATAACGGAATGCAGCACATTCCGTCCGACTGAGGTGAATGACCTTCGCTCTGTGACAGTTGTTTACTGTATAATCTGTGATAGATTTAACGGTTTCTACAACTTTGTATAGTTTTTGTTAATAAAATTTAACACTTGATCCGTCTTCGATTTGTTAATATCTATCACAATAAAATCCAAATTATAAAATTTAAACGCGAAATAATTCCGAACATTGTATGTGTTATGCAACTAAATATCTATATGAAATGGAATTTGTGGTCCAAAACGGATTCCCACAAACTAAAGACCTTCTTATAGGTAGGCAAATTTTATTATTAATTTATATTTATAAAAGCACAGAATATATTATATCGGTTTATAAAAGTTATAGTACAATTTAAATGCGATCTTCTTGAACAAGATTCCACGAACATTTCATTTGCCATTGTACCTGAATAGACTTGTTTGCAAATTATCAAGAAGGAACATGCAACCAGATTTCAGAAAATATTTCTCAATGAAGTCACTTAAATAGTTTAGAATATGTATTTAAAGCAAACAGTGTCTACTTATTTACGTCGTAAGGAATATTACACAATGATTGTAAATATTAAAGCACACGCAGTTCGGCCACAGATTATTTTTACTGATGGTAGGACCTCTTGTGAGTCCGTGCGGGTAGGTATCACCACCATGCCTATTTCTGCCGTGAAGCAGTAATGCGTTTCGGTTTGAAGGGTGAGGCAGCCGTTGTAACTATACCTGAGACCTTAGAACTTATATCTCAAGGTGGGTGGCACATTTACGTTGTAGATGTCTATGGGCTCCAGTAACCACTTCACACCAGCTGTGAGCTCGTCCACCCATCTAAGCAATAAAATAATAAATTTAAGATCGTGACTGGTAAGTAGGTTCTTTACCGTACAAACACAGAATTATCTTTGGCATTCTCGTAGTTGTAGACATCATTTTAGTTATGACTTAATTTAGAATTAATTTTAAATAAGTGAGAATGAACGAACGACCACGACAACTGTTGACAGTTTAATATTTCCGTATATTTCATTTAATATATTGGAAACATCGGATAATGTTGTAATGACGATGTTATGCATGACAGTAAAAGTATTTTTTTTCCTTACCTATTTGCTTGTAGCCTGCGGGGCATTCCAGTTACCCCCTGTCGGATAGGTGAGCTCACTGGCTTTAATTGAGAGAATTGTTTTTTTATTATGATTGGAAGATATCGAATACCTTTCCAGTTTCACCAGGACAGGTGGCCAGCAAAGGCTCAGCCAGGAGGGGTTGGATTTGTTAACAACTGCTCGAGTGCCTCCGAAGTAGACCTAACAACTCAAGAGCAATTGCTTCGCGAATGAATCTACTACCGGATTGGAATCGCCACCCGCTGGAAAGATCCGGCGAGAAACTCAGCGGGCTGATGCATTAGTTAGGTTGCACGTCGACCTTTTTTCCGAGTTCGACGAGTACGGTTACCGGGGTTCCTAAGCCGAAAAAGATGGAGTGACCAAGTCCGAGTATCTGGGCATGAGACTGAGTCACGCACTTCATTGTGCCACTGACCGACATAAGTGGCTACAAATTACAAAAAAAGGTCACATCACTGAAAAAGGAGGAAGCCTACTCCTAGTGTTAGAGCTGAAGATGTCTAATGCAAAGGTTTATTGGAGCTGATGGATCCGTAAGGACGTGTTTAGGGCGCCAACGGTGACTGGCTCCTGCATGATCAGGATTCGGGGGGGTTGTTAGCGGCGGCAACGATAAGGCGATTATCATGACGAAGATTGGCTAACACTAACCCTAGCAAGAGCAGTGCTTCGCAGAATCTACCAGAAAATTACATTTAATTAGGTATGCACATATACAGACGCAGTTCTCACTAATAACATAAAATCTCCCACTAAAACCAAAATAAACGATAAAATAAATATTTATCAAGTTTAACAGGTGAAGCCTTTATTTACATTAAAACAGGCATTTAATATCTAAACATTTCAGAAACACACCAACTTTATCTAAGTTGGTGTGTTTCTGAAATACCTGGGTACCTGCGTAAATATTTATAGCCTAAAATCGCTGAATTAATCTAGAGCATCGAGAATGATCGAGTTCATATAAACAATGTTGCTTACGTAATTAGTTCTTAGTTTGTTTAATGTTATTTTGAATTTGGTAATGGTTACGCCTGAGATCTAGTTCAAAATCTGTGGCTTTGATAAAATAAAACGACCTACATTGAAGGGTTAGGATTTATCCGTGTAAGGCGCCGCACGTCATCTCGGATCCTCTGAACCACTAACGGTGCTCTTTGTTATTGCTTAGATGGGCGGACGTGCTCACAGCCCACCTGGTGTTAAGTGGTTACTGGTACCCGCCTGAGATTCGAACACCGGTGCATCGCTCAACACGAATACATCGGACGGCTCATCCGTTAGGCCACGACGACATAAGGTACCTCAAGCACCGGTCATTGTTCTCGTCGAACCCGTCGCTTGTGATGAAGGGCTTGGCGAGTAAATTAACCCACAGACACAGCCCACTGAGTTTCTCGCGGGATCTTCTCAGTGGATCGCGTTTCCGA